TTGCGTTTGCCGGATATGGTTGTGAAGTACCCAACTTCCAACCGTCACTTGGATGACTTTTAGGAAAGTCTCAGGTTCCAAAGTTTTTTTCACAAGGTCGCCGGACTCCCATGTTGCAAGCACAATCTCTTCATCCTCCGGGATATCAAGTTCCTGGAGTGTAAGAAACTGGCCTTTTGGGCAGTGATCACAGTCTCCTTGAAGGCACAGTTCTGTTGCTGAGTCGCACAGAAATGCCGAGTTCATTTCACCAGTGTTGAATGTTGAGCCTGTAACGTTCTCTAGAGCGGCAATACAAAGATAATAATTGGCGCAGCGCACACAAACGCACACTTCCTGGTGTGGAATACATTGGACCCATCTAGGGCGCAACGAATAACGAATAAAATTTCGTTAGCCCAACGCCGGAATCGGGATGCTTGTCTTTGTATATACGGAAGGCCTCTCGTATTGAGCGTGTCATGAAGCGCTTTGGCACGAACGTTTTCTCTCCGTTGAGCATGACAGAGATGACGTCCTTCTGGTTGGGACTTTGGCGCGAACATTGTAGCTCGTCTTTCGTGAAGTGCTCTAGGGAAGCAGACAGGTTCTCAGGGCTCACCTTGCACCTCGTGTAAGGATCCGGCTCATACCACACGCCATGCTTTTCCTTGAGTTTTCGGGATTTACTGATGAGGTACATTGAAACCTGTGGAATCATCTTTTGAACCTCATTCTTCGTCAGTGTTGACGGCAGGTGTGTAAGCAGTTGACAACGTTCCCGGAGGGAGGTGGCGGTTTCAAAGGCCTGCCGAAAGTTGTCCACCCACTCAGTGCATGTGGAGCATGTTGGTTCGGACGACCCCGATGGTGCGTCCCTGTCGTACGCAATACGTAGCCTTGAGCGTATATTCTTGACAGCAACCTGCTCCAGTTCTGTCTGCTTTCTCTTGACATAGGCAGGCCTGTCCCGACTTCTTACGACGCTTGGTTGTCTCAGCGGCGACACATCTGTAGGTAGTATGCTGCGATTTAGATCTTCAATTGCTTCTTCAGCTGGCACAAATATGTCAGGGCACTGCTCTGAGCTTCGGATCGAGATCTCCTTAGTGATGTGCATGAAGCAATGGTAGCACAGGTAGTCCGTCGCACTCACTTTGGTGGAACAGTCAGGCGGAAGAATTTGCTTCAACGAGTTTAGGTCCAATTCGCCAACACTTCGAAAATTCCGCTGCTTTGGTATAGTCTTTTTGTGTTTGCAAAAGTAATCTGCACAAAACACTCGTTCGGAGCTCCAGGACGTCTTCATAATGTATACGTAAATAATAGAAATTAAACCCCAACTGATGGCATATAGTTGCCAAGTGAAAGAACTACTGGGTGCACAAGTGACAAGTCCGAGGCTGAGGAGCTCACTCACTGCAAACGTACATTTGAAAAGAGAGGTCACAACTGAGGCTGTCGGCAAAGCTTGATCCACGTCAAAGGAAGAAAGAGGGAAAGTCTCCAGACAAAAAATTGTGGTCAGCGGCCTTCGAAAAAGACTTTCCGGAATCGCACTGTCGTCCCTCCACGCGCTGATATGAAAGCACCCGAGCTTCTACCACGTGGTTCATGACACAGCCTGAGCCATGTCGGCGACCGGTTCGCGAGGGGTTGGCGGTGGGGTTACGTTGATGGTCACTCGGATTAGCCCTTGCTGTACTGAGCTACCGCCTGCAGTGCCTTATCGCCGGCTGGTGTCAACAACGAGAACACACACACCCTGTATACACCAAAACTACAAGCGTTCACCGCACACGCGTCGCCGCCGCTTTTAAGCTTTTGTGAAATTGCTTTCTTTTGCCGCGAAGAACCGCCTTATCTTAACTACGCGCCTGAAATCCTTCCAGGCGGGCGTACACAATATCAAGCGTTTCGAGAAATGCCCGTGGAGTAGAACTATGGGAAAATTCGGAGCCCGCGATGTCGATATCGTCGCCGTTGTGTTAGTACGCCGTCGCGTACTGCAGTCCCCCGTTGGGGGAGGGGGGGTAGGGCGATCTTACTACGATAACATGGCGACAGCGTTTACACTCTATGTATTTACGCGAGGCTCGAGTATTTGGGGATAATGCTGCCGGTTGGTGTGCCCCTTTGTGCCTGATATTATCGCCCGTGACGCCAGCGAGTGAGATGGCGACAGGCCTGACTGCTCAGTAAACAGGCGTCGGCGGCCATGTTTTGCTGGTTGAAGCGAACCCCCTTGTTCTTGACAGCGAGCGGGGAAATGCGAAAAAAAGATTGTATAGGCCGTTTTGCCAGAACTAGCGACGAGTGTCGTCTGCGGTTTCCGGCAACTATTTTGCCATAATCGTGAGCTTAGCGAGGAAATGATTTTTGCTAGCCACAGAACACTACCACGCAGAAAGGGAATGCTTGAACATGTTTTTGTTCTGGATATATATCAGGGATATATATGAGAGAGAGAGAGAGAGATGAAGGTAGAGCGGAAGAGGGAATAGCATATAGTGTCGCAGGAGACTAACAAAGTTCCTAGTGGCCGATGGCTGCATGATCTTTTCTCGGATCACCAGTCCGTAATATGATACCTCTTTGTACACAGTAGTTTCTCCTTAATTTAAGTGTGTGAACGATTTCTTTAGTTATCATTGGCCTCATCTGAATAAAAATATATAAAAGATGTGTGTTGGTTTCATGAAACTGGAACTCAGAGTCAGTTCTTAAAACACTGCTAAGTGTAGGCTTTGAAAAAGGACCCTACTTTGGAGAGTTGTATCTTCTTTCTCAATAAAATGATGCAACATGTTTTTAATGGAAATGAATGCCGAAATAGAGTATAACAGGTTACCTAAATTTAAAAAAAATCGAGGGTGGTGTTTTTTTTTTTATTCGCATCGGAATTTTTCTTTGTTTGATTTTTTTTCCATGTTTGACTAAATATATCCTAACTATTGTATCACACAGATACCTTAGTTATTTTTTTAAATATTAGCTATATATTAGTAGAATAATATCTGCAAATTATATCATAATGATTAAATTATTTCATGAGATACAGACCTCCAAAGTTTGCCATTCGTCGTTCGAGCAGGCATGTTTGTCAATTTTTAGAAAAATAAATAAATTTTAAATAAATATGATTACTTTATATTACAAGCAAGCTATACCCATAATTTGCGCCTAAAACGTATTAGAGTTCTCCTAATGTTATCGCTTTAGTTACTCACTCTCAAACGGGCCCCCTCCATCAGTGCGCGTTAATGCAACTGTCCACCACCTCATGCCTTACGATTTTTCCTGTCCCCAAGTATTTTTTCTAGTCAAAACTAAGTTTGGATTCGTTCATACCAGACACTAGACAATAACATATAAAAACATCAGTTGATTTGAAAATGTCGACTAGCCATCCTTTGGTCGATCTTATCTGAAATCACCCATAAGCATCTGTACATGAAAAGTTGGAACACTAAATGGACAAACTGAACCCGAAAATTAAAATACCAACAGTCAATTTCGGGGGCGGAACAGACTACATTTGTGAAAAAGAAAGTAAACGAAGACGAGAGAAAGATGTGCGAGAAAAAATGCTGAGAAAATCAGCTTTCACTGTGTATAGAGGACGAAAACAGAACATAAGGAAAGAACATTAATATGGTGATTCACGGGGTAGCTCGTTGTTATTCGAGGCTAGAACAGGAGTATTGAGGACTAGGACATATAGAACAAAGTATGAAGAAGTGGATACGCGGTGTGCTCTATGCCAAGGGGAAGACGAGATAATAGAACATGTGATGTTGAGGTGTACAGGGATTGCTCCCGCCCTCCCGGAGGGGGCAACGAATTTAGCTGGAGCACTGGAGTTTTAAGACGCGAATGGAATAATGTATCGTAAGTACGTTTTAATAACAACATTGAACATTGTTTTTATTCGTCACGCAAGTTTACAAAAAAACGTTAACGAGTCGGGTGAAGCCTCGGGGCTTGTGTGCCTGGCTCGGCAGTTGACGAAGTGAACCTTTGTAAGAGGAGATTGGAAGACCGGTGGAAATTATCTGGGGAGAATTGTATGACGTACAACTAACGGACACAACTAGTGACAGGCGGGACAGACAAAAATTGGGATTCCCTCCCGCGTAGCTTCGGTCCCCAGTCCCCACCCTGTCTCCCAGTGGGCACGGTGCCGGGGTCAGCCACCCTGACTACGTTTGCATACGCACGCACAATATCCGGTGTTTCGCCCGGGAAACAGGGAAAGTGTTCCGGTCTTCGTCTTGTATCGCTCGAAAATGACAGTATTGCACGTTCGTGAAAAGTCAGATAATCGAGTACGCAAGCAGCGCTTTCAGTCATGGCGTGATGGCATGAACCGAAACTGCTCAATCGAAACCGAAATAGAGTGGCCAACTGGTTCCAAGAGTGCACTGCCTGACATTTCGTCGCGATGGGGCGCTTCGAATATTGAAAGAAGTGTATTCAGAATACGCGCTCAAATAAATTACAAACCACTCGCAAACCCGGTCACCAGCACTCGCAAGCACGATAAAATCTGAAAACACGATCACAAGGCACACACATATAAATTGAAACGCCCGCCTTGGCACTCAGTTGGCAGAACAAACAACGCGCCATCTAGGCTGTGTTCCAAATCTTTCCCAAATGGATCCGAGCTACTCCGGCGGATCATATCACGTGACAGCACACAAAAACGCTGGACGCGGGTAGGTTTTAGAACGCCAAGGGTACAAAACCTTTACCCTGGAGTAAGATCGAGTAAATTTTGGAACACGGCCTAGCCTCCTCTGGGTAGGTGTCGCAAGTTGCCGTCCCGCTCAATACGTGTATAACGGCTACGTGTAACGGCTACGTGTATAACGGCTGTACGAGACCAGAACCCTACAATAACAAAAAGCACCAAAAATTAGCAAAAAATAATTGCCTGGGGAAATCATACGAAGGAATGTTTAGTTGCTTGTGTGTTCTATGTTCCAGCTGATCTATGGAAAAAATATTTAGCCAACGATATCCAATCTAATCCAAAAATAGGAGGTCATTGACATTGAGAGTCCGCGAATTTCACGCACATGGGCGCGGACCGTGGCCCGTAGCGCTCAGCCGGCTTTGCGTGTTTTCTGGGTTTGAGCCGCTGCCACGAGTTCTTGGACTGACGCACGTAAAACTTCCGGCCCTGACCAGGGCAGCTGCGGTGCAACGACGCTTCGCGAGCCTTTCAGCCGGCTCCGAGCGTCGCTTCGGTGACAGCGCGCTTCCGTTTACGAGAAAAGTGCCGCTCGGCTGTGACGACATGACCAGGAAGTTGTCCGGACGATCTCACGTTGGTGGCACTCGACTCTAGCCCTCGGAGCCTTCGGAAAGCACCGAGCATGGAATCCAAGGAGTGGGAGACCTTCTTCGCCAAAAACCAGCCACCCGTAGACGTCGAAAAGAAACGGCAGCGAATTGAGGAATTTTGTGCCCAGCACCTGGGCTCGACCGAGAGAATCGTCCTGGTCACGGTGAGCGTCGCCTGCTCGGTACTCCTTAGTGAGGCGACCAAAGACACGGCCGCTAACCACCATCAAGTTGGCGCCTTTCCAAATACGCTCGCTCCGGGCCGGCTGGACGGATTGGGGAAGGGGGAGGGAAAAATTAATGACCAAATAAGCTAATAAAAAGTAGCTCGGAGCACGTGGAGCGAAAGCTCGTGCTGCAGAACCAAGGGATCCTGGGTTCAATCACCACCCCTGCCCGTTTCGATCTGGACGAGCACCGTACCGGCGTGCGGTCGTGTATCACTAAATTGCTCAGCTGCAGCCGTCGAAACAAAATATAATGTTCGGGGAGCAAAACTTGGAAGGAGCGAAAGTGTGCAGGCAAGCTGGTTGCCAAATATGATCTAACTCCCCGATACAAGGAGAAATAAATAATGAATGAGACGACATAACACCTCGACCGGTCAGTTCCCTTACTCGCTGTACAATCGGCCGTATCACGTGGCCGCTTCTAACCGCGAGTTGAGGGAGAAAACGCAGCTGCTTTTTCTCCAGTTTTTGCTGCGTTAATATTAAAACTTATAAAAGTCTAGGATACATTCCGAGGAGTATTTTTAGTGAAAGTAAAAAAAAAATCCTTTCATGGGCGTTCTTATGATTGATCATTCCCGGATTGCCTGCATCAAATGCCTGTAATCCGGTGAAATAAAATTACAGTGCCCTAGAAGTTGGGGAGTGGGCTCATTGTCCTATCTCCCCCGTGTATTGCGCTAAAGCATCCGATGTCGAAAATGCCGGATTACCAGCGGCCGCTGTGGGCGCAGCAGTAGATTCCTCCTGAAACTTTTCCCGCCCACTGCCCGCTCCGTGCTCAAATTTATATAGTTACCTTACCGTGATTGATTCAGAGGCAAACACAAAACAAACGATTGGCAAGAGCCACCTAGCCGACCTGGTCTGGCCTATGCGCGCTGGAAAGTTTCAGGAGGAAACGCCTACAGCGCCACCGCCGTGTCGACATCAAACGTGCCAGGGCAAGCCGCCCCATGAGCCCACTACAACTCTCTAGGCCACTGTAATAAAATTCCTACGAGGAAACTTTGTGACCGCTGCGGGACAGCACTAACTGTTCTGCACATTCTGCTCATGATATTCTTAGATCATTAACACCAATTATGTTTTCTGGAATTTATGTTTTTGCTCGGCGATGGATTTTTAATATATTTCAAATGTGTTTTGGGTTTTCTAAATAAAATTGGCTATTTCTGCCAGCTATAGCTTACGACTAATTTTCGGATCCCATATTTACACCTTTTTAAATAATGATTATTTTGCAGAGTGTAACCTTAAAAGTCCACTGGAAAGAAAAAAAAAAAGTTTTTTTTTTAAACACTTTGGTTGGGACCCGCACGTCAAGAAATAAATTTTACGCAAAAAAACGAAATTTTTTAGAGCAATATTGACGGCGCAAGATTTATTTTAAATTCTGCGCGAAGTCCCTGATGTCACGGACTGGTCATACACTCTTTCCATCTTAACGTGATGGCCGAGCCAACCAACTTTTCCTGCATGCGCCCGAAGTGCCAAGAGAGAAAACAAGTGGAAAGGAGGTGACCACCAACTAAATCGCATCTCGCGCCATCAATATTGCTCTAACAATCTTTTTTTTCTAAAAAAAATTAGTTTCTTACTTGCGCTTTCCAACCAGACTGTTTAAAAAAAAAAATTTTCTTTCAAAGGGCCCTGCAAGGGCGGCTTTTTTACAGATTTTTAATTTGCAGCAAACCTGAGTGCACTGAACGTAGTAACTTAATTAAACTTTTCTTTTCTAGAAATTCGCTTTGGTTTAAAAGTTTTGTAAATTCGTTTTATAACATACTTTTTCCATCTAGGCTGTTTAAAAAATGTGTTTTTTTTCTTTTGCATGTGTCCTTTAAAGGGACAATGAAGGCAATTTCGGACATCTTTTTGGCGATTGAACTGGGTTCCAGGCATGTCTCGGGCCACGTTGCCCAAATTTCAGCCGAAACCGGCGCTTGTGTGACGCGCAAATCAATTAAACAGTCGCGGTAACAATCGTACTGGGATCGGCTGGGGCGACGCCCCGAGAGTTGCGGGAGAAGCCGGGAGAAGCGGATTTCACGTGACCATTGCGTGAGAAGCCGGGAGAAGCGGAGCTCACGTGACTGTTGCGGAGCCAAGAAGCGTCACAAGAGAGGCATCAGCGATTGGTCAAAACAAGAGACGTGCCCTCGGTCACGTTTTTGGTTCGCTATTTTTAGAAATACTGTTCGAATTTCTGCTTGAATAACCAGGAAAAGTATAACTCGGACCGAAAATGATCACTAAACCGTAAATAAAGCAGCATAATTGTTTTTTTCTTTGCTACGTTGGATGCGAAACGGCCAATGAGCAACTATGGCCACTTCAGCATGCGGGCCGCGCTTTACCGGCTGGGCGGTCTCCGTCGGGTGATGGTGGAGGCCGCCAAACACGCACTTCCGTTTCGTTTGTGTTGGGTCACTGAAAGGAAGTCGAACTCGCTCGGGAGAGCGGCATTGCCGTCCATGGTTGACAGATTCGACAAGACGACTGCGCCACCGCGCTGCTATAACCCACCGCGGTAACCAGAGTCTTGATCTCCTAAATACTACCGATACCGACTATTCACACTTTACGTCACCTCAGTTTTCGCAGGCCCAGAAACGAGAATGGAGATTTTTCAGTTTCGCTTCCTTTACTTCTTTCGTAGGCACAAAAATACGCGTCACAAATGTCTACAAAAAATTGGGCTGCATGCTATGTTCCCAAGAAGCATAAAAACACCATTTAAAAAAATTAAATTAAATCGTCTTTATCATCCCCTTAATGAAACTTTTCTTTTCTCGAATTTCTCATTTTCCTAATAGTTATAGGCAAATCAAAATTACAAAAACAAGCAAAAAATAACTTCTTTCATGACGTCCTTGGTTGCTTGAGTGGATGTGAACTAGAGGAGGGGTATTGAGCTCAACGAGCGGTCACGGCTGCCGCACTCCGTTTCGACGGCTCGAGAGGGCGCCACTAAAGCTAAAGCATGTTTTGGCTAGGCTGTATGAACCAGGCAGCCAGGGCGGTTGGCATTGCATTTGCTGCGCGATTAAACACTAATTCGGCATGACACTTCATTGGCCACAAATGACAGCAAACACGGGATAAAGATCAGTTCAGAACAGGAGCCACTTCGCGCTGCCATACCACCAAAAGGCCAAATCGCAAGCCAAAGCTGCTCGCCGAAGGTTTTGGAAACGCTCGGAACCGGTCAGATCCTCCAATCAATACGACCGCAGCGCCGCCGCGTACATTCGGGACCTTTCTACGCTCGCCGCTCGTTGGTGCCTGATCGTACTACACCTTTCTAGTATGCGCCGCCTTTTCCACCGCTTGGTGGCGGGTATGTCGACAAGTCATTTGTTGTTTCCATACTTTCTAAACAGTATTTGTTTCTTTTCTGATCTAAAATAGTGAACAAAAACTACTTTTATAAATAATTGAAACGGTTCGTGCCACTTATATTTTGTATTACGACTAAAAAGAAGCTTTCAGCGGTTCTGACCAGTAGTAAGCCCAGGACCAAAGACGTCATATATTGCGCGCTTTCGGCACCGCGAGTCGCCCCCGTAGGTGGAGGAGGTTTCCGCTTCGTCCGGTTAAAATATGACGCGCTGATATTTAGTTACTCTCTCCGTACCCGCTGGGGTACTCCGCCGATTTTTGAGCTACCTCGTTCTGACTCCCCGGCCTTTACCCTTTCTGGTATGCTATTTAGTATCGTGAAATTCATAATAAATATTGCGAAATCGGCAAATGAAAATGATGCAAAAACAAACATTCAAATATACCCGCCCTTTTCAGGGCCGTGACGTCAGTGGAAGGCAAGCTTGCCAGTCGGGCGAGCAGTCTAAAAAATGGAATATGCCAATCATTTGTTCCGTGCTGGAGCGCGGGGACTGGAGCAAGCTTCCAAAGCATTCATTTGACACCATGAAACTGCTTCGAATCAGTTGGGAACAAATTCTACAGTCCAAAGAGTGAACCCCTGCACTTCCACTGACGTCACTTTTTCATTGTTGCCAGTAGATATTTTCAGTTTGAAAAACACGGTGAGGACCAAAATTGTAAATTCAATAACTTCGTGAAAAAAAAATTATTTTGAACTAATATTTGGGATACTATTTTGGCGATGTTGTTTGGCGAGTTTAGCAAAATTTCAAGCAAATCGGGGACCATGAAGAAATCGGCGGGGTACCCCTTTAAGGGCTCTTGAGCCACTAAACCCTGCCATCACGAGTCCGCCTTGGGAATTTTCCCTCAATCCATGTCCAAAGTGCTTTCATGACCAAGGAGCAGTCTGTTTGCCTGTCCGTGTGGATCTGCTTGTCAACTGGTGTACTCATTGTTCTTCTCGCTCCAGTCGGGAGGCACAAGCGTGCCACTGGAACACAACACGGTGCGCTTCATCGACAACTTCAGTGCCGGCACGAGGGGCTCATCGTCGGCCGAGTATCCTTTTGGGCGAGCTGTGTGGTCGCAACAGACTTTCGCGAGCCTGTGCAGAGCTTGTTTCTGCTTACTGCCAAGTAATCCTCGAGTCGTCCGCATTGCTCTCTTGTCCACGCTTCATTAAGGGGTGCCTCTTACTTTTAGCAGTGAACTACAAAGCAGCGTTGTAAAGTAAAAGGAACTGCACTTAAGAAACTTGAGAGTGACTACTGTACAATACCGGGGAAGTGCCCACCCCACTTTCACTGAAAATTGGGTTACTCCAGACATGGGCACTTGTCCGGTAAAATAGGGCACTCAACGTTAGAATTCCCAAGTTCGAGAAATATTAATAGTGGGCACTTCCACGTTCTTTTACGGCAAGACCCGTACTGGAAGCCTTCCTAGTCAATAGTTGAGGGCCATGTAGCCTACAGTGTGATTGAGTACCGTAGAATACTGTGCATCCGCCCATACCACACTAAGCGCCCACCCACAAAATTCAAAACATCCAAAAAATATGAGCAGTACATATATATGTAAAATTGATGACCTCACGTGCTCCCATCCCCTATTTTTTTGTCACTATCCTCAAATTTTAAGTGGGTACTTGCACGGTATTTTACGGTGATGTAGTGAGTGTTGCTTTTTTTGTTTTTTTCACGGCTCTGGTTTGTATATACAGCCAATTTAGGGGAGCCTGTTGTAAGGCAGGTTTTTTTCAACTTTTTTGGTCCCTACAGGCAGTAGGCCGAAAATGTGGTAGAAGCTCCAACTCTAGTGCAAGCTTTCTACCTACAAAAGCATTTGAGTGTCTCGTGAGCATATACAGTCGAGGCAAGATGGAAGGCAACAAGCATGTTCTGGAGACTCTCCACCTGTCACTGACTACGGACCCCTAGCCAGTTTAAAGCAGAAAAACAAGTAACCACGAGGGAACAATGGCTTGGCTCGGTGCATCGATGCGTGGCTCAGCTGTGCCATCTCTCAAAACACTTCACTTCTAAAAAAGTCTGTTTCTCAGGCACTCGTGGTCACTACGAGAGGCACTTTCATTGTGTGTGCCCCTAGGAACACATCTTTTTGAAACCCGTGCCGAGGATTAGGCTGAGAAGGTTAGAAATAACAAAGGGCTGGTGAACTGACCAGGGAACAAGGAGTTCCTTTGTGCATCGATGGACCTAATGCAATGCCCGCGGATGCTTAATTGGTGGGCTTGAATCTTGGCCGAAATGCCCACAATTTGACGGAGGCTTTTTGCAGAAATGGTTTGTGTCCATGATGAACAGAACAGCGCACACAAAGACAAGGACATGTCTTTGTGTGTGAACAGTTCACACACAAGTGTGTGAACAGAACACAAAGACATCATCATGTCATCATACCAACTCGCCCAACTTACTACACGTCTGTGTCCACGAGACTTTGGTTGTCTGTGCAACCATTCTTCTCTCACCTTATCTGGGGTATATTCAGGGGCGGATTTAGAGGGGGGGTCTAAATGTCCTGACCTCTATCTTGATTTCTGCATGTGTAAAATTTAGGGCATGAAACGAGGGAGAGGGGGAGGGGGTTCCTAAACATATGGTACGCTGACCAACACCTGACCCCCTCTCAGGAAATTCCTGCATCCGCCCCTGGGTATATTGGATGCCCTTCGTTGGTTTTGTCATGTAGACCCCCCCCCCCCCCCCCCCCAAATTTATCTTTCGCGATTGCTTCCATTTACGTGCTTATTGTCTTATTGTTTTCGCAGTGTTCTAAGAAAGCTCTCCGTCGGTAGCAGAAATACAGCCAGTGAAGCGATAGACCCTTTCAAGTATTCAGTCTGACCACTTTGGTCACTGTCATCGGCCGAGAAAAAGAGGAAAATTGGCCACTCCCTCGCCGGGGGGACGAGGCGGAGAGGTGATGTTATTTAGTTTTTTGCCCAATCACCCGAAGGTCATCCTGGCGATATCCCGCAATGTCTGTGATTCTAGCCTACTTTCGAAAAAATTGTAAAAAAATATTCCATATTTACACAAACCTATGCAAAGAAATGCTATGATTTCATCTTGCGCAGATTTGGGAACAGTTTCAGTCTTTTTGCTATCCTAGTCTTTGGCTCACTCAAACCTTGGGTTTTTACTGCATGTAATGAGAGAGTTTGGATGTGTTGCATCTGTCGGACTTACGAGTCATATATTTTTGTTCTCTAGATAAGTTTGACCGTTGTTAATTTTACCAGCCCGTCGAAAGCGTCCAGTTGACGACACAATTTAGGCTTGGTAGATTTACCCGCAACCCCCGCACCGGTGCAGAAAAGTGGGGGCAGCATACTTCCAGTACTTGTACCGAGATACGACCAGAAGTACACCGCCCTACACTTTTCCGTACCGGTGCGGGAGGTGCAGGTAAATCGAACGAGCCTCTCGCGTAACAATTCCTCGCCGGTGCGGCAACAGCCGCGTTTGTAGCCACACGGACGAGAGCGTGGCCGGCCCTTGACGCCCCCGCAGATACTTCCTGGCGGCAGGTTATGTGGTGATCTTCCTGTACCGCACCAACACCCTGAAGCCGTTCGTGCGGCACTTCAAGGACGGGGGCCTGCTCGACCAGCTGGAGCCCACCGAAGGGGAGAGCCCCGGCATCCGAGGTTCGCTCTCCTCTCGCTGATCTCTTGGTTCCGCTTGGTCCCGCCAGGTAGCTTAGGCTCCCAGCGCTATACTTTTCCCCATGTCGCCTCTCGCTACGATAGGTCGCAAGCGGTACCATAGGAACAGGCCGGTCTGGCTGGGTTTTCGAAGCAACCGACAGAGCCGAACAAGGATTTCCCAAAGTTAGCCATTCTAAGACACACCAACGTAACCGTCGTTCGCTTCTTTTACTTCTCGAGTAGTTCAGAGTTCAAATTGTCAGTGTCTTTCCTCGCACGCGCTCAACATACGTTGAGTGAGGGTGAGGTGTTTGAATCTTCAGATGTGTTTGTGCCGCTATGCCACCCATGCTTTTGCGTGGCTTTGCTCACTTTTACCGACATCTACCACATTTAATGAGCAAATGGAGAGATAAAATGAGCCACGCTGACAAAGGCTGCCGGGCGCTGCTGGCGGCTCGGTTACCATGGTAACCTCCAGGAACAAATTAAAGACCGCTTTTGGCATTTCTGATGTCGTGCATCCACTAGGTCTTTTTGCGTTGTGTTGCCACTCTGGCGACTGAAATCGCCATACGAGTGGTTCTAGGTGTGACCTCAGAGTGCCGACTCGTGCGCAGTGCGGGGTGAGGCGGTGCCCCAGGTGCTGCCCGTGCTGCGGGCATTTCGGGCCGCCAGGGAGAGGGGGCGCCTGCTAAATGTGCCCTTCACCACGCTCGTCGACTACCTGTTCCTGCTCCGGTCGGCGTCGGCGTCGCTGGCGGCCTTCGGGCGTCGGGCGCTGCTCTACCTGGCGGCCGCAGTCTCGGACTTCTACATCCCTGGCGAGGAGATGGTGAGGGAGTCTGCCCGGGCACTTTGGGAAATTCACTGCCCAGAACGCGCCTCCTGATTGGTGCGCGTCCCATTCCTCTCGAGCATCGAAAGTGGTCCTTAGAGGACAAAGGACGACGTCGCAAAAGCCGGAGTGTCACACCGTCGGGCGTCCTGCCGGTCGTTCATAGAACTGCTTGCAGAAATTAAGAGGGAACGCCGGCGTCGTTACGGCGTCCCGACTCTCAGCCGCCAAAGCACCCGTACGCGGTATACACCGGTCGGAGGCACGTTCTGGGCACCGTACCGCGACTGGCGGCTGGGAGCGGGTCCTCGACTTTATCCAAAAAAGGCGCCTGCCTCAATGGTCGTCGCCGACGGTGCGAGAAGGGCGCCCCTTTTGAATGCCTGGCCTCCGACACGCGCTAGTTTGCTTTCACCACATTTTGGCTGCGCATGCACGCTCGGGGCTCGTGAGGCTCCAAAGCTTTATAGAAGATGGAGAACTCGAGCTGGAGGTGGCCAAAACTCCTTTTGCTTCTCTCGCTATGTCGGCGACTAGAGGTGCCCCCTACGTAACGACGCCATAGTGCCAAGTTTCTGGCATCGCCTGGAGAATGCAGACGCGGGACCGGATGCGAGCGATCTGTCTATGTTCGGCTGGGACTTGCGTCCTCGCCGACCAAACGCCGACGCGGCACTCGTGCGTAACCTGCACTTGGTGTTTGGCTCACTGGGGCGACTTCGAAAATCCAGCGCTACAACCTCGCTTCCTACGAGGGGTCGCTAGGTGGCAATCTTTATGGCAAAGTGCGTGGGAGAGAGGAAAGAGTGGGGGCAAGATAAAGACTGGGAGACGGGGTGGCGCAGGCCAAGGTGGCCACGCGGCGCATGTGGGGCTCACTCCGTTCCCGCCTGCTCCGCAAATTCAGGGAAGAATTGCCGTTGCCGGACGAGCGGCGAAGTTGCGAAATTTAATTTAATTTTACTTTAAGGACGATTACCTCTTACCTATTTTATATGTCGGAACACGAAAGGTGGCTAACATGAGGGCTCGTTTTTCCCTTTCGTAAAATATTCTAGCATCTGCGGGGATTTTTTTGGGCATTAGAGCTCCGGCATCGGAAAGAATCGACAGTCGTATCACTGACCGACCTGGAAGACAGCATTGACTTTTCACCATGCGTATCTTATTTTTGCGAGCAGATTATTGTTGAAGCGAAACTGAAAGGGTTCTGCAGAAAAAACACTTAAATTGTCTTTTCTTGGCTCCAAAATCACAAAATCCAAATGATATGTTAGGTTAATCCACCAAGTAGCCACAGCAGAGCTTTCAGAATAGCGATAAAGCCCCTCCTTCCAGGCACGTTTGGTGGAAGGACATAATTGTGACAAATTATAGAGAGATCTCACCCTTTTCCTGTTTTTTACGAGCCTTACCCGAGCACTCCAACACATTACTGTCGAGACCTGTTATAACGAAGCCAACGGGAATCGGAAATCACTTCGTTATATCCGCTATTTCGTTATAACCGACTTGAGTTAACGAAGTGCAAAAGGGAATGGGAGATAGTGATCGCTTCGCTGTAGCCGCTATTACGTTATAACCGACTTCGTTATAACCGGTGTTGATATACACGCATTCCCTCACAAGTGGCACGCACGAGGCAGTTGAAACCTCCGATTATGACGTCGTACCTGGCGGTTGCTTTTTCGGTTTTTCTCGCATCTCGATACGTTCGGGTCAAATGCTCGTTATATTCAAATACACAGTACAAAAATACGCTAAAATTCATCCGTAACTCGTTTCATTGGGAAACCTCTTTAGCTTCCCTTTAAAAATTGACTCGCCAGGCGTGCTGCGGCATGGTGCCCTTCCTGAAGGGTCTATTGTCGGCCCTTTGGTGGTTGACAGCACACTTCGAACCCGACGGGTCGGGTTCAGGGACTGCTGCACATTGCGAATGTTGAACACGGTGCACATTCTATGGAAATCTGCAGCGCCGAATCCATGCTCTTTGGAGCCTTTTGTCCCACCGCCGCCATTGCTAAGCGCGTAGCAACTGCACGTATCGCTGCACATTTGTTGGCCCCCAGGACGCTACGACCAAACCATACTCTCCTCGCATTGCTTTCACGCCATATTCATGGAGTCAAAGTCACTAGGTGAATTGATGCTCATTTGGCACAGAAAAAGCACGAACGAAATCTTGCACCACAATCCCTTCGGTTTCGCCGGCAGTCTGGAAACTCCCATACGGGAACGTGAATAAACTGCCTGGCGCGACTTGCACGTAAACCCTGCCTTAGGAGCTCATCTCTGATGTCTGGTGTCGTCTGCCGCCTCTCACGCGGTCTGCAGTGCGAGCAAGCAGACAGGTGTTTCCAACAAGCAAGCGGCCTCCTCTTGTCTTGTGCAGCCCGAGCACAAGATCCACTCGGACGGCGGGCCGCTGCAGCTGCACCTCCAGCTGGTACCCAAGATGCTGAGGCCCCTGGTCTGGCTTTGGGTCCCAGAGGCCTTTGTGGTCTCCTTCAAGGTGGGCCTCGTGGGTGACTCCTTTCATGGATGGCCCCACAGGGCCATTCCCGTGGATAGCTCTCAAGCTACGGTGGCTTCGATTAATTTCTTTGTTTGTTTCCCTATTCAGCAAGAGTTAGCAGAGACTAAAAACCCGATGCCTGACGAGGTCTTTGCCCTCTCTGCAGTTTCAGCTATCGTTCTTGCTAGCTAAAAGAATTTTTACGCACCAAAAATTTATACGAAGATGTACATCAGCTATGCGATAAAAAAGAGGCCCATTTTTTTGATAATAGATTGATAGTCAAATAAAAAAGAAGATACAGGATTTATTAGTGATGGACCGAATCTGCCGAACTTCAGATTCGGCAAAGTTCGGTACATGCCAAACTTTTGAAGGACAGTTTGGTAAAGATTCGGCAAAAATTTGGCAAATGTCTGCACACGCGTGAGAACGCAATGGGACCATGGATTGAAAATAGACTCCGTGCGGTTACCATCGTACAATGTAGTACAATAAGCAGTTACGGCAAGGTGTGGAGTAGGCATCACAGTAACCGTGCATTTGAGCCTTTGCGATTGTGGATCTTTTCAATATTTTCTGCCTCGATAATTTTCGCAGTCCACTACGCAAGTGACAAATGATGAAGTATGTTCTGGATGACGGGATTTTCAATAGACCTTTCCAGTGATGCAACGAGATAGTTGCAACATTGACTGACAATTACTTAAATTTAAAGCACTCCTTGCAATTATAACAATCCTCTTTTTGGCTCACAAGTAGTTTGTGCCAAAACAAAATAATATTTTGTTTTAATTGCCGTTGTTTCATGGTTTTCATGTATCTGCATAAAACTAAAACTATAAACAAAACTATCATGCTCGATGTTGCACATCCAACATTTCTAAGTCTTCCCATCTTCCTAAACGTCCGTGTGTGTCCTAACAGCAGAAACCGGCATTTTAAAGTTTAAAAACAAGACGTTGCGAATATGGGATGCACGCTTTTATGCAAAACTGACGTCAGGTGACTCAAATAAAAAAACACGCATATTTAAAATAATATTGTTATCTATTCTGGTGAATAGATAACAATATTATATATTATTCAGCAACTGCTGCATTCGTTTTTGCGCACGAAACGGTGACTCCCAGGGAAAGTGAGCACGCAGTTTATTGCCTTTGTATTAACAATCTACACCACACACACTTGCAGGTTTGCGCTGATGAGGCCTCAAAACCGAAACTCTCGTAGCGTGATTCCTGACTGCGCCCGCTATTTTATACTATCCAACCTCGTCGTCGCACCACTTCTGCGAGAAAACATTGCAAAATTACCAGTAAACACACAAAAACAACACCGATACATTTATATTGTAGAATATCACCTTATTTAGTAATAACTGTGTCAATAGGCATTACAAGCTGCATTTAAGTTAAGACAAAAAAAACAGCATAAAAAAACCTTTTTTTGACAGAAAAAAAACTGAATATCAACGTTAAGTCTGGCAACAATGTATTTTGTTGAATCTTTAAAAAGTTTGGCTGGCACAAGTTCAGCCCATCACTAGTATATATATATGTAAATAGAAAACCTTTGAAAAAACACTGAAACACCCCCAAAAAATTTCTTTTAATTTTTTGCCAGGCGATTTATTCTGTTGTCAGAAGACTACCCAATCAATATTTTGCTACTGTACGTGTCACATATATTTATAATAAAGTAAAAAACGCAACTGCTCAAAACCGAAATCAAAACTGGACTGGGGAGGAAGAAGAGATACAGAGGAGGAGAAAGATACTGAAAGTCACGTGACTGTACAACTTCTTTTTTTTTTTTTTCAATCTGCGTATTTGCAGTTTTTTAGAAGCCACAAAAAATGGGTATCGTATGTTTTGTTCATTTCTAGTATTGAGTTTGTGCCTTCCATGACCCACGACTTTGATTATCTTTGGGGGTTGTGTCTAAACCATAGAAAATAGCACGAGACCACAGAGAAGAGAGTGAGCACGACTCAAACCGGCCAGTTCTCGATGGGTGGTTTTTGGGCAGAAAGAACAAATTTCGAGCCGCAAATTGTGATCTGGGTAGTTGGGCTCTCTTATGTCATGTACAAGTAAGAACCTTGGAAGCATAAATACCCTGTCAGCATCCCTTTAAGGAACACAGGATCCATGAATATCAAGTATGAATGGGACTTGTGCTGAAAGGAAGATCAAAAAGCAATGTCACCGCCCACCAGAAACACCTAGAGTTTATTTTTAAACTCGGTTAAAGAGCGGTTGAAGTCGATTAAACCATCAATAATGTTAAAGATTTTTGCTACTTCTAAATTCTTTTGCTCGCTTACCATACTTTGTGCATATTCTGGGAGGTGGTCCGAGTTAACTCTATGCTGCTTCACTCATTTGCGTTGTACCGTAACCAACCGCCCTCACCTACTCTAGACGAGACACTGGCGCCATCTATTGGACAGACGGTGTCCCTTGTCGTTTCCGGTCTTCGACTGGGCTCAAAGTTTGGCAGTATTTGCAAGACTAAGTCTGCCTGCGAGAAATGGTCGCTCGTAACATTGTCAGAAATATTTAAAATCCACGACGAAAGAATCATGCCAAAAAAAATGAGGATGTGATTGTTCAAGTAATGCAGGGCTACCCGGTAGATGGCGCCAGCGGCTGTGATAATCAAAAGGAAATGTGTAAACCAGCCTCTGGGTAGTTTAGTTACGGTTATTTTTCAACATCTCGTCGGAAAATGCAAAATGGTGCTTTAAAGGGAGACTGACAGGATATTTATGCTCGCCAAGGTTTTTATTTGCACATGACACATGAGAGCCGAACTACCCAGGACACAATTTGCGGCTCGAAATTTGTTTTCTTTTTGCCTGAATACCGCCAATCGAGAACTGGCCAGTTTGAGTCGCGCTCACTCTCTTCTTCGTGGTCGCATGCCGTTTTCTATTGTTTAGACACAACCACCAAATATAATCAAAGTCATGGGTCATCGAAGGCACACACACAATATTAAGAATAGAAGAGAAATATGATACCCATTTTTTGTGGCTTCTAAAAAGCTGCAAATACGTTGATTGGGAAAAAAAAGAGTGTCACAGCCACGTGACTTGTGCCAACTCTTTCCTCCTCTATATTTCTTCTTCCTCCCCATTCCAGTTTCGGTTTCGAGCAGTTGCGTTTTTTTACTTTATTAAAAGTATATGTAACGCTGTGGCATATATTGATTCGGTAGTCTTCTGACACCATAATAAAGTGCCTGTCAAGAAAGGAAAAATAAATTTTGGGGGAACGCAGTGCCCCTTTAAGGGCACAGTTTGTGTTGTCACCTAAACAGTGTGCAATTCAAAAGGAACTGTGCCGAAACCTTTGCCGTTCGACCGCTAGTCTGCAGTCACGGCGCATTTGGATGGGATATTTAAAAATAATTGGAACGTGACAACCGCGTTTTGTCTCGTGGGTAACTAGCTTCAACCGGATACAGCTATAAAACTGTAGTTGTACCCGTAACTTTATGACATTTCAGCTTGGATAACTCTAGGGTTTTTGAGGGTAGCCTTTACAGCTCTGCTGGGCTCTGCATTATTTTTCCAGCTCGAAACGGACTCGGACATTCTCCTGGAAAAGTCGAGGAAGGCCCTCAAAAACTACAAGCACAAGGTGGGTTTGCCTTACGTTACCCGGCTTCTTGTCCCGTTTCCTACCTTTTGCATTTCTAGCAGAATCTGGTTACGGGACCCGACGTGTGAAGACACACCCTTGCGTGCGATCCATGGCAGTGTACACACGTTGCACATTTGGTTACGGGAGGCGGGATAGCTGATGCGGAGATGCGCTCCGATAAGAAACCGAAGCCTAAAAACATGTCCAAATTAAGCAATTTTTCGAAACACCGTAAAATACTGCGGGTGCCTAACATTTTACGTAATATGGGTTAATTTATGTTTTGGATTATTTGTATCAAGTTTCTAATTTAGACCATACATTTAGAGTTAACGATTAAAGTTCTAATTAATAAAAAGTAAATAATTAGATACTGAACAGAACACAAATAATTTTCCTTGATAGGCCCTTTGGCATAGACCATGCACTACAGCGTCAACCTTTTTTCTGTGCGATGCATAATTTTCGCAAGTGTGATTTGGCTTACGTTTCCAAAAAAACACCTTCTATATTATAAATTAATCACTTTTTTGAAAAGGAATAGGTGTGACAACATACACCATGTATCTATTGAGTTTAGGGTGAAGAATAAAAGTAAAGGAGGCAACTCGGTTTTTCAAACAAACGGCCATACTAAATTTATTCAAATCTGTTTGTGAAAACATTTCCAAAACCTCCAATCAACCTGCAATGAACAAACAAACAAAAGGCAATCGAACTTGACAAAAATGCAATGAATGAAACTGACGAAACGCCTCTTGAAGTTTCTACTGTGCTTTAACGAGCTCTTTGGCACTCAAAATTTGCTGTTTACTGGATAGCTAGAGATTAAATGGGGTATTCCTGTTCTGCAGGAAAACATTCTGCCTAACAATGTAACGTAAAATCTAAGTATATTGTGCCGCGTTTGAGGCCCTCGTGCCCCCTTAGACTGGCTCGGCCAAGAAGGTCTGGCCGGGTTGAAAGCCCTGCCGCCATTCCAGCTGGTGATTGCCAACGAGCTCCACTCGAGGAAACACCACGTCCTTTTCGTGACCCAAGAGTCCCACGAGGCGGTGGACCTGAGCCCAGCCCAGCTGGCAGCCGGAACCGAGATTGAGGAGCTCATCGTGGAGAAGCTGTCCAGGCAGCATGCCTTGCACATGGCCTGAGCCCCGTCCCAGCCTCTTTTTACTCGTTCACCTTTGGTTTCTCGTAACCTCTCGTTTTTCTGACGCAGATCCTCTCTGCAAAGCTGGAGTAAGCTTGCGATGCTGCTCGTGCAGGCATCCGAGCTATTGGTGTTGTAGCAAAGATCCTGATATGTCATTCTTGGAAAAAAAACAAAAAACATCGACTCCACTACTGTAGGGAGAATCTGTGTATAGTGGCATGTTCCATATGATTTTATTTATCTACTAGGTTGTGGAACATGCCCCAAAATGTGGCAAAGGTAAAATCTCTTTAAATGAAATTCTGGTAGTGAGTGGGGCTTTCTGTTTAGTTTGTTACGAATCCCGGAGCTCGCCAAATATCGGTCGGACAAATTGGTGCCTTCGCATTGTGATACCCGATTTTCATGGAAGTTTTTTTTTTAGTTGTCCATTTTGCCGTGTCAAATTTTGAGGCGTAGCTACGTTCCTGCAAAAGACTAGAACACCGGTCCCCGACAGCCTAGATAACCGAGGGTTGTGCTCATGGAGCCATCTCCCGGTAGACACAGCAACTCAGTCGAAAGCGGATGGCATCGTCAGGGTGAGTGAGTACAGCCCTCTGTTAGCTCTGTTGGAAGTCCCTTTGCGTTGCATTTGAAGAGATTCTGCCGAAATCTGCCACATTAGCACTCGGTTTGAACTAATGAAATTCTCTGGCATTATTTTTCCCCTGGGCAAACGGGACAAGTGATTGACGAGAGCATGGAAATGCGAGGCATTCATTGTCAGTCGGTTTTAAAGGACGAGACTGCACTTGAATAGAGAGACCAAAGCAGCGTGTGAGGAGATGGCTCCTTGCCACTTCCACTCGCAAATTTGTCCAATAGAAATTTTGGGGGCCTTACAGACCATTGTTTTTCACTGGAGCCATGTTATACATATCAAGTTGGTTGTTGTGTTTGGGGATTTGCTGGCGGTATATTAGCAGCTGTGGTATCCTCAAGGAGATGTGTTCACAGATATATGCAAATGTTATCATTCTGGTTTCTCCTGACTAAACTGCTAGAGTGTATCAGTGGTTGAAGAGACCTTGTAGCTGTGTTACTGATTGTCCGATGGTTGTGAGAGATTATAAAGTGGTGGAAATATTTGCGTCGCATAAACAAACGCCGCTTTAAAGATGTATGTATTATGGCATTTTGCATTGTGTGCTTCGAAGGAGGATATTTCAAGCTGTGGCATGTTTTACCAGTGTACTATTGTGCCTTGAATTTTGGGTACTGGTAAAATTTGTATTCACTCTGGGAAACACTTATGAACCAACAGGGAAATAGAAAACGAACAAATATATTATCATGTGTGACTTTTGTCAGTACACCTTGAAGCATTCTAGTATATACATCGAATGCTGGCTTTTCCTCTATGAATGAGTATAGTAGTAGGTAGATGTGGCAGTAGAGCATGTAGTTCTACTTGAAATAACTTTGTGCGGTGTTGGTGAGTCCCAAGAGAGCCCTTGTTCTGTCTGTTCATGCCTCTTGCTTTCCTGGCAAGTTTCATGTTCTCCAACAGTAGAACTATATATGCAGCTTGGTTATAGTGGTGGACTTTTTAGATGCTGAATTTTAGTCGACCGTTTTGTTGGCAATAAATGCAATTTTTCTATTTGCAGCCTGACTCTACTTAAAGCATATGCATGCTTCTAAGTGCTCTATCAAATCCTGAAATTGATTAAATCCAGAGCAAAAGGCACAAGGATGCGTACGAAGTTGTGCTCGGTGCATAGAGGTTTCTATTCTTTTCCCCCGTTGTCCTAAGTTTGCTCGTTTATCTCTTAGTGCAGCGTTTAGGGAATGGGTTCGGGCTGTAACGATATGCGATCAACCTATGTTAATAATATCTAAATCGGTAGCTATAGCGCACGAGGTGCATACCTAGTGCTGTTATTTATTAGTAACTGCAGCCACATCTTGTATACAATTTTGCGGCAGGGAAATGACGAAGTATGGTGTTATGGGCCTAAATTCGCGCGTCATAAAATATCTGCAAAGGAAGACTAAATGGCAGATTTGTAGGACCCAGACCTTTCCCAACATTAACGTTTTGTGCCGAACAAACAGGAAAGTAGCGATCAAATGTCGGGCGACATCGGGAACGAAGCGCCCATGCATGAAGCATCCTGAGGTTAGGTGACCAGAAAAACTGGTGGAGCTCAACTTCTTCCAGGACACCATGGTGATAAGGCAGGCTAACATTTGACTTGATTGGGGTGCTTCAAGCTGCAGACGTCATACAAAAGACTGTGTTTGCTGCAGACCTAGTGACGGAACTATCTGCGGATGCGTCTCAAGTTTGTTCGATGCAGGTTCACACATACGGATGCTTCAAAAATGTCTGCATGCAGTTTTTGTACAACCAACGTGACATGACTGTGGTACAAGGCATGTCTTTTCTATTAAGCTGTATAACTGTTAGGACTTTTTTACTGCTTTTAATTTGCACCGAACCTGAGTGCACTGAACTTAGTAACTTGATTAAACTTTTCTTTTATCGAATTTCACTTTATTTTAAAAGTTATAAGCAAATTAAAATTACGAAAACAAGCAAAAAATACCCTCCTTCATGACGTCCTTGGTTGCTTGAGTGGCACTAAACTAGAGGATGGGTGGTGAGCTCAGCGAGCGCTCGCGGCTGCCACACATCCGTGTCGACGGCTCGAGAGGGTGCCACTAAAGCATGTTCTGGATAGGTTGTATGAGGTGGGCATCCAGGGCGGCTCGCATTGCATTTGCTGCACAATTAGGCACTAATTTGGCATGACACTTCATTGGCCACGAACAACAGCAAACACAAGGTAAATATCAGTTCAGAACGAGAGCCACTTCGCGCTGCCATACCGCCAAAGGGCCAAAGCTGCTCGCCAAAGGCCTTCGGAACACTCGGAACTGGTCGGATGGGATCCTCGACTGCAGCGCCGCCACGTACATCCGGGACCTCTTTACGCTCGCCTTTGTCGGTGCCTGATCCCACTACACCTTTTCTAGTATGCGCCACCTTTTCCACCGCTTGGTGGAGGGTGTGTTGACAGGTCATTTCTTGTTTCCATACTTTACAAACTGCATTTGTTTCTTTTCTGATCAAAAATGCTGAACAAGAACTACTTTTACAAGTAATTGAAACGGCTCGCGCCACTTACATATTTTGTATTTCGACTAAAAAGAACCTTTTAGCGGCTCTGACCAGTGGTAAGCCCAGGACCAAAGACGTCACATTTCGCGCGCTTTCGGCGACGCGGGTCGCTCCTGTAGATGGAGGGGAGTTCCGCGTCGTCCGGTTAAAACAACGTTACTAGAACCACTCAGTTGGGAAACTGCCATGGAGATTCCTCTGAAAAAGTGGCCCCGATCTGTCCTCCATAACCGAGCTGATGGCGAACACAACGCCGCCATTTCTGCCGCAGCGGCCACTCGGTGAACTGCACGTTACTTCTAATAGACCTTTTTCACATACAGATGGCACCAGGCGGTGGCTGCACGAACTAAAAATCAAGGAAGTGACCTACCTGCGCTACCAATTGATAAACGGAGCTACGCTACCAGTTTCTTCGCCCTCTGAGCAGCGGCGCCTGCCCAACGCGACTTTAAAGAGGAGCATCCGTGGCGTCCTCCAAAACGTCGTGTTTTCCTTTCCGTCGACATTCTTTTTTTGTGTAACACAATTATATATATGCCGCAGTTACGTATTCTACTCGCTGATATACAGCCTCCTTCCGAATTTCCTCGATTTTTCGTTCCGACTTCCGCCGCTTGGCATCGGGCGCTCGCGCGTGCGCAGAACGCTTCTCAAAAAAGTCCATTGTTCCGCAAAACCTTGCAAACTAAAGATTATAAAAACATCGCGCGCCCTTCATTTTGTACTTAACTCCAAAAAATTTCATATAAAAAGAGTCTTTTCTGTTTGGTTTTACACAAAAACATGCTTTCTAAAAGCTCAAGGTGACCACAGTATAGACAAATGATAAAGATTGGCGCTGTTGTCGTATTTAGCTTGGTCTCGGTGGACGCCAGCGGCTCAGGTTTCGACGGCGAGTTTCCCAACTGAGTGTTTTAGTAACGTTGGGTAAAATGTGACGCACTGATATTTAGTTTCTTGTCTCCGTGCCCGCTGGCTTGCCCGTGGAAACCGTAAAAAAAGGTGGACACTTAAATCTGATTGCAGCTGGGCCCCTTTAACAATGCATATCTTTACAAAGCTTGAATGGACCATTTTAGAAACTTGGTGGTTCAGGAGAAAAAGCGTTGAAAAAAACAATGACGAAAGAAGAGGCCAAAAGAAGACCGGACACTTTATGCATATCTGTTTTGTAATGATTTGGTCTTTTCCTGTTTCCCTCAGTGCTTTTCTTTTTCTCTTTTGTAGTGCTTTTTCTTTCTTTGTTCAAATGGTGAGAGAAAAAAAACGCAAGCAAGCTGGTGAACTAAGAGATACAATAGTAAGGGTGCAGGCGAGCTGGTGGATGTTAACCATGTTGAATATACCTGAGACTGGGGTAGAAAAAACATAAAAGTCGAAGAAACAGAACGGGACAGGACGACGTTGAGACGTCGTCCTGTCCCGTTCTGTTTCTTCGACTTTTATGTTTTTTCTACCCCAGTCTCAGGTATATTCAACATGGTGAACTAACTCTACAATGAAAAAAATAATTCTGAAAAAGCGGACAACTACGCTAAGCACGAACAAACCACAAAATGGAACTTCTGGACAGGTATAGCGCCGTAAACATTTCTGCTCTCAACACTGGTGAAAACCGGAAAATTTTGCGCGCCTTCCTCTTTCCGCGCATGCGCTCTTCGCGATAAGTCTGCAATTTGGCGGGAAAAGGTTCGCTATCTGGCGGTCTTGCCGTGTTTTCGCCGTGCTGGTTGTTGTGTGGCTGGACCTTTAACTTTACTGGATACTTCTCGTGAGATTTGATCACCATGGATGTTGCCGATCTCCGCACGGGACCGGTGCACGTGAAGGATGACATCGGTGATCGGTGCCAGAAGTTGTTTCAAGACTTCCTCGAAGAGTGAGTACTGCTCGGCGGGCTTTAAAAATGGCAGAGACAAAGGAGCGTCTTTTAACCGGCCTTTCCGTCCTCGGCGTGCTTCATCGCTTTTCTGTTTGCCTTGCTTATGACTTGCCGTAGTTCGCTGGTCCTTTGCTATCTAGTCATTGCAGCGAAACTATCCCCAGGAGGGTTTGAGACTTCTCGTCAGAGTTGTCCTTTGTCCCGAGTATCCGTCCGAGACGAATCCCGGTGAGAAGCTCACCGGAGAAAAACTCGCCGCAAAACCGGCAAATGCGGAGAAAGGCTCACGGGCCTTTGAGCGTATGCGGAGAAAAGCTCACCGATTTTTTTCCCCCCTTTTCATATGGAGGTTGTTGGAACATGCGTAACATATATCAATTTATTATCATTAAAATTCGTCAGCTTTGTAAAAAGGATGCCCTTTCTTGTAATGTTTGTCGAGCTTATTTGCGTATGTTAGTCCCAAATTAAGAATTGTGGGTGTTTTCTATTGTTTACTCTCTCTAGGCAACGAAAGCCTAACTGAAAACTTTATGAACTTTAATAACACGAAAAAGTTATTAATATCTGCCTAAAACCTAAAAAGCAAAACTGTAAATGCCGAAAATCCGAAAGCGCATGCGCAACAGCGCGGTGCCTGAAATTCTCTTTGAAGATTTTGTTAACCTTTGAAAACAAGGTAGAACGGTCAGTAAGATATATCGAGGTTTCTTTCTTCTATGAACATGCACGTTTCCTAGCCGTTTCTGCTGGTGTTCCCACGCCCTTGTGTGATAGTGCCCTTCTACGGTGAGCCACCCCATGACCTTCAGAGCTGCACATTGTCACCGTTGTTACTCGTGACCTGTACAACAACTAGACTTCTGCAAGGTAGCGAGTTGGTAAACGTTACACATGATGAAAACCACTCAAGGACAAAGACGGAGTAAAGACAACAAACACAACAGGACGAAGCTGTTCTTGCAACTAAAGTTTTAGTAGTGAAAATAACAAAGAGAACAGCGTAGTCGTCACTGATTAAATCAACAAACGCCTGCTCCTCCATCAGGCACCCCACAATCTTCGGAGCTAAAACAGTTCACACGCTGCTATTCATATTAGCTCGCAAAAACAAACCTCTTTAGCTGACAGAGCTACCGACGGCGCACTGTCAAGCTGTCAGCAAATTGTTGTATTTTTAAGGGTGTCCAATGTTCTGACTTTATACTTGCGGCATCATTTATATACAAAATGGGTGATTACTAACTTCTGAAGATTTAGTAAATGTGCCCAATGAACTTCAAGAATACAACACAAAAGAGGACAATTATTTTTAATGAAGTGACAAATTCTATTTGTTAAATTGCCACGGGTGGTGCACTATCCGGTAAGTTAAGAAAAAATTAAAAAAAATTGGTGAGCTTTTCTTTTGTGAGCTTTTTTCCGCCGCCCGTCCGAGACGTATCTCGGACGTAACAGAGCCAACTTTTGAAGCCGGCTTTCTTGATCGGGCGTCCTGGTGTTAGCCAAGTTTTCTCCCAGGTGTCAAAACAACAAGAATGAGCCGAAGTACGTGGACGACGCCAAGAACCTGGTGAAGCCCGAGCGGAACACTCTCGAAGTGAGTTTCGCGGACATCGAGCGCTTCAACCAAAACTTGGCGACTGTCATCCAAGAGGAGTATTACCGGTGAGTGGAATTTGTTTTTCCTCTTTCATTTGGGTTTGCCAGAGCGTGGCGTTGATTGCTGCTTCCGTTTTTCAGGGTATACCCGTACTTGTGTAGAGCTCTTCGGAACTTCGTCAAGGACAGAGCCGAAGTGAACGTCGACAAGGAGTACTACGTGAGCCTGACTGACGTGGCTACGCGGCACAAGTGAGGGACCTTCTTTTTTGTCTATGCCGCCTAGGAGATCAGGCAGCCAGCTGAAGCCCCTTGTTTGTTGGTCACGAATTTGCAGCCACAACGGAGATTAAATAAGTTTGGAGCACGCGTAGCCAAAACACGACGGACTTAAGCCGCCAATGAGCGTGTGCCGGTGGTGGTCCTGCAGGTTATACGTCAAAGAGTACTAGAATTCGCATTAGTTTAGGGGCTCTCGTCGCCTTTACACCAGGATGAATTTGAAGAAGCTAGGTGAAAGCTGTTAATTGACCCGTGTTTGGTGGCACCAGAGTCTAATGGGTGATGCACAATGCCCTCGATTCTCCTCAGGGTGCGTGAGCTGACGACGGCCAAGGTGGGCTCTCTGCTTAAGATCAGCGGCCAGGTGGTGAGGACGCACCCTGTGCACCCGGAGCTGGTGACCGGCACCTTCACCTGCCTTGACTGCCAGACGGTCGTCGGGGGCATCGAGCAGCAGTTCAAGTACACCCAGGTGCGTCTCAAACTCTCGGTGATGGCCGTTCCCTCGTTAGTTGAAGACGCTCCGTTCGGTCTGCCGACACTGCGTCGATCAAGAATAGGTTGCCGGCGTTTGGCAGCAGCTGCAATGCACTCTTGGTATTATTCACTTCCGGTTCGTAGCTAGCAGCCGACGCAGCATCATGGCGGCTACGGAAGTGTGCAGCGGCGTAGACTTTCCATTGTCCCAAAGGGGGGGGGGGGGGTGCTGCGCGTTTCCTTTTCGCCAGAACTGGAGATTGAAGCTAACGAGAGCACGCTGGGATTCCATTTCCCATGTATTTTGTCAATAAAGGCAACGTCGGCGTTATTTTGTTTACATGCCACTATAGAAGTCGTTACATGGCACGTAAACAGCAACTTGGTAAGAATCATGGTCCGGGCCCAAAGGGGGGGGGGGGGGGGGGGCTCTGCCCCCCCACCCCCCCTTGGATATGACCAGAGGGGGCACAGGCCCCGATGCCCCCCCAAAGTCTACGCTTATGGAAGTGTGTGTGGGTGTTGAACCTGATCAGTTCGAGCCACTTCCTCTACTGCTGGGTGACTTACGGATTTCTGAGCGTCTAAAGTTACATCTACGGATGCATTAGTAGGAATCAATACGCAGAAGCAGCAAGAGCGGCCACGAAAGCGTGGAGCGAGTGCGGCCGGCAGCAAGCTGCACTTGCGCTGCGCCTTCCGGATCTTTGCATGAAAACTTGGGCTAGGTTAGCTATTCTGTTTCCCTTTTGAGCCAGCGTTCTTCATTGCCTATTATTTTTGAAGGTTACGTTAGGTTGCATCACCGGCTGAAATAGGCGCAAATGTACGCTGTGGGACGCGGCTAGCTGAGATGCCCAAGCGAACCTTTGGCATACTTTTGTTGCACGATTGGAAAGAAACTTTTGTTCAGAAGTTCAGTTGGACGACATCGGATTATGCGAGAACGCTTGCTTTTAAACACTTGTGTGTTTATTGTACTTCAGTTAGGTTGTCCCCTGTGTGCCATGTCTCTACCCCCGCATATTTAAAAAAAAAATTATGTTGAGTAACGAAGCATGCATAACATGCACCGATTTTGAAGTGGGCTACGCAGGGTCGCATGACCTCTTTATTATCGGTCCAGATATAGGTTCCGCCTGCTTGCTTTTGTTTATTTATATTATAATGAACTGAGAGTCAGGTTTATGTGGTTGATATCTATTGGCTGAGTTTCAAAGAGTGTTCTTAAGTTATTCCACAACGTGAAAAGCGATCAGGCTATAAATCTTGAAAGCCCATACACCGGAATACATCCCAGAGTAGCTGCTGTCGATGAACTGTTCTGTGGACGAAACGTTGCGCGATGAATTGATTGCGTGCAATATCGCAGGCAATCTGACGTCTACAAGATCGCATCCCGCGTTCTTGCAGATGACGCAAATGACAAGCCGTGCTCACCCCTTCTGGGATTAATTGAGACCTTGTTCTGGGTGCCAAGAGTCTGTTCAAAATCGTCATTTCACGCAGCTCCAACCCGAAGAAAGAGAGAACACGTTGCGCTGACCTGTAACAAAATGGGCCGTGCATAAATGGGCACCGGTGCTTGGCTATCACGGGTTACTTTGCTCTGTCCTTCGGTTAACAGCCGTGACGGCCCATCGTTGCTTCAATTCTTTGTTCCACGGGAACCAGAACATCTGCCTTTTATGGCTCGCATTAGAATAACGTACCGCGGAGCAGTGAACCATTTTCACCGCGAATGCTGCACGGCCACCACGCCTAGAAGGGCTCTCGGTACAGCTGGACGAACGACGACTGGCACCGGGCGAACCGGAAGCGTGAAGTCACGCGACGCCTCGTCTCAGATGACGAAACTTCAGGCTCAAACGCCGGTACCCCATTGTTCAGCTGTAAACTGATACCTATAGATACCCAAAATAAATCTTATTTTTTGTGCATGGTGTCGGGAGATGGTGACTGGGCACTGCCTGATAAAGTTTTTTTTTGCTAGAGTCGCATATTTGTCTAGAAAACAGTTGAAACAAGCTCAAATTAAAATCGAGTAAAGATGTGATGTGTTTCAGAGACTCGCTTCAACAGCAAGGATCTCGAAAAGTCGAGCGATCTTGGCGGTAAACCTTTTCGCCAGTCCCGCGGGGTGCGTTACAATCCTGGCTGCTCGCTAATTTGTGTCGGTCGTTTCTAGTTCTTCTAGTCGGTGGATTATATATACCTCGGCACGGGGGCCGCAAAAGCCTGGGGGGGGGGGGGGGGGGGGGGGGGGGCGGTCGGGGTCCGTCTTTGTGCGTCCTGACCGAAGCCCCGGGTGCGCCGCAGCCGACCATCTGCAGGAACCCCGTGTGCAACAACCGGACCCGGTTCCTCCTGGACACCAACCGGTCGACCTTCGTGGACTTCCAGAAGGTGCGGATCCAGGAGACGCAGGCCGAGCTGCCCCGGGGAAACATCCCCCGCAGGTGAGACGCCGGGTCGGTCCTTCGTCCGTCTTCGGCATAGTGGCTTCTGACCTACGCAAGGGCTGTCCAAGCATGACACTGCAGATGCCGCACGTGACGAAAGTAGGGTTCACTTCTCTCAAAAAATGTGAGCATGTGCATTTGTTTTTTAGTTTGGACATCAACTATGTAAACAATGCGGCTTTTCTTCTCGCCTCCTCGCCGTCGTCTCTTCCCCTTTCTGGTTTTCGGGAGACTAGGAATCAATGACAACGGTGGAGGCCTCGACGACAGCCGGCAAAGCGAATGGACGTCCGGACCCACCCGATAAGCACGCTCTCTGTCCAAGGTCGCGATCCCGGCAAAAGTGGATTGTAGTACGGCATATGCCATTGTTAGGTTAGCACAGCAGGGTAGCACAACTGCTGCCAATGAAGAAGCAGCAAAGGTTGGTGTGGAGTTGGGCCACGTTTCTCTGCCTTTCCTGGGTGCGCAAACACACACACACACATCACGGACACATCGACACTTGTTTCCGCAAATGCACATTCCCAGACAGTCGAGTGAGTTTGTCGCGACGGTCCTTTTCGTTCGGGGGATATCCTTTTATTTCCCCACCGAGGAGAAGCGTTAAACTGTCCTCATTTCCGCTGCGTCGAAGCTCGAAAACCATATGTCGCTGGCTGAGCCGTAAAGGATGCCACGCCTGATCTTCTTCGATGGGGTCGTCCCTGTCTCCGAAGACGGTCTTGGAGCCGGACAACAAAGCAGCTTGTCTAAGGAATATTTGCCTACACCCAAGGGCGTAGGCTTAGGCGCTATAGACGAACATGCTTTCTCCCCCCTCCCCCACCCGCCCCCCCCCTTCCCCTTCTCCCAGTGGATGACCGGATGGGCCGTTTCCGCTGATAATGCGCAGACTGGCGAGCTCTCCTTGAAATCGACAATCTGGGGCAAAGGTCACCGAAGTTCCATTCTCAACACCACGCAGCCCTTGAGGCATGTGTTTTAGCACGGTGCACAATTTGCGGTCGCGTCGTGCCCTCAGGACCGTCGAGGGCCGGGCAAGTCGCCCGGAACTCATCTTCCACTGGTACATTTTGCGCCTTACGCGGTCCGACTTGGTTAGAAGGAGTCTGGGAATAGCGAAATATTGGATATGACAAACTTGTTCGTTGCAGGCTCCTGCCTCCATAATCTCAACGCGATTTTGCCGCACTTTTGTAGAACAAACTCGAAGCGGCATATTTCCCGACTAAAATTGTCTGGAACCTGTGTCGGTCGCCGTCATGACAGCGGCTTGTACGAGCGCCAGCAAGGACGACCGGCAAACGCAAATGTCGCCGTTGCGTTGCCCCGACCTGTGGCTGCCGGAGTTTTCGTTGAAGCCTGCGGAGCGAGCTGCAACGGAGCGGGTGTCTACTAGCCGTATAACCCTTGCTGCTCTTGCATCTTAAAAACGGCGGCGAACCGCAGCATTGTGCAGTTGTGACGTCATTGGGAAGAAGATGGATAGGACTAAAAGCACCAGTTGGAGGTGCGTTCTGGGCACCATAGTGCAGATGGTTCACTGACGCAGAGTTTTAGCTAAAGTCGACAATGACACAATCTTATGGAAATAAAGCTCTCTATATCGCATTTTACTACTACACTATCGCATCATGTGTACTCTTTCCCTTCCAAAGCTGCAAATATAGAGACTTTTTGGGAGATACTAAGCCTTTTGACTGTTCATACACCAAACAAAATAAAGGCAGTCTCTGTTAAAGGGACCATGAAATGACTTTTTTACTTTCGCCAAATAACTTTCAGATTAAACCTTCAACGTTCACTGAACGCTGAACAGGCATCCGCTTTCGTTTTGGTTTATTAACTTCTACACGAAAAATTCTTGAAATGTCGAGTTTTTCTTCCTCTCCAACTCACCGCAAAACAAGCCGCGGCGTAATTTTGCCAGTTGTGACGTACTGTGGCACCGGGCAGTAGGAGAATGGGAGCGTTAGCGGCGAGCTGGCAGTGGGCCAGCAGGTTTTACCACAGGATTTTACTGCGCTGATGGCACCCATGCCACCGACTGAATAGGCACCTCTCATCACCATGATAGCCATGGACACACCGCAGCTGAGCGAAATTCAATGGACCTTTTTTGAGTAAGGAGCGCCCTCTGGGGAGTTGTATGCAAACTACAAATGAAGAGCAGCCCAACATGCCTCCACCCATCAGAACACATTGGCATCGCACGGTTGTGTCGGTTTTCAGTGCTTTTTATACCCCATACTACCGATACTTAAAATCAAAGTGTCAAAATACACTATGTGCGAAGATAGATGCTGACAATGTTGCTGTCGCCATTTTTGCAGGGCACCGTAAACGGTGCTTTGCAGAAATGGCGACAGCAGGAGTGTCCGCAAGCGCAGAAGCTTACTGGGAAAAGGTCCATTAGATATGTCATACTACAGCGACAGCATGGGAGTGGTCCCATACGCTGGTACGAAGCGCAGCAGGTCGTTAGCACGACAGCCGCTTCCCCGCCGCCCTCAGCCGTTTCCATGGAATCTCTAAAAAGAAGGGGATGTGCTGCCACTCACTGGTGTAGTAGAAATTGCACAAAGTTTTCTATGGGCTCAAGCCTTATTAACTTTTATTTTGTCAGGATAGGCTCTCAGGGCAGGGTGGATGAAAATAAGAAAAGAAAAAGATGTAGTACGCCGTATTGGACAATCACGACTTTACTAATATAACAAAATCTCCTCGCCACACGCCTTTTCTATGATTGCAAAAGACAATGTAATCTTAGTAGCAATATAGCAACATAGAAATTGATTTCGTGATCACATAGACGTTGCGAGAGTTCAGGAATGCTAACACTAATCACTTTTCTCGGGTGATGAAAACGCGTCGAAATTCGAATCCCTCATACACGCCTTTAAATACAGTACACACCAGTAATATCTTGAACTTGAGCACACGCATGGAGTGCACAAAATAAAAAATCCGGGCGATGTTCGAGGAGACAAATGCTAAGAAAGCACCACTGTAGTCGGAAGTGAAGAAAGACGACAGCACAAGCGTCTTTGCCGTCTTGAGAGTGTCGCCACAACATCGCCGCACGAGAAAATGGATCTTCCCTTCTAGGACGTGCTGGGTTATCGTCGCAACACACGAGGAAAATCACTTAAGGCGCGTTCCCACCGGCGATGCAATCTAGTCGCGCGATAACTTTCATCGCAAAAGCGACCATCGCGGGCAAAAAGCGACGCGATTTGAGCAGTCGCTTCTCGGCCCGACTTTTTTGTGATGCGATCTAGTCGCGCAGCGGCTGAGCCAATCAACGGCATTCGGAGCGGAGTTTTCGAGAAACGACTCGCCAACGAAGGCGTTGGACTTGCTCATCGCACACGCCGGTGTGACCATCTAACTTTTTTTGCGATGCGATCTAGTCGCATCGCGCGACTGCTTGTATCCCCGGTGGGAATGCGCCTTTAAGCATAGCGCTTTACGTGAAACGATGAGCTTCCACCACGCCGACCGCGTCGACGATCACCACTGACGCCATAGTTCTTAGCAGAGCAAGGACCGGCGCAGGCGCCAGTATTACCTTTCTCTTGTTTTGTTTACCACTTGATAGATGGCGCATAGCTCCGAGTATTATAAAATTCTGCAATTTCCGTCACTTCGCTAATTATTCAACATAATGTGGATCAGAATATTCTTAACAAAACTTTTAAGAAACATTCGCTGGCTATTTATTATTTATGATCGCGGCGCTGGTGAGGTAGGCTCTTACCCAATAGGCGACGTGGATTCGGCTGACATGCTGCGATTCCGCGGATGCATCGCAGTGAAAAGGCAGAGAGCTTTTGAAGGAAAGAATGTGTAAAAGAGTCCGCTTTTCTAAAAGTTCTATAGCACTTTTTTTTTACTCCCTATTTTTTGTGTTTTGGTTTTCTTTTCACACCTTTTATGACGTACGGGGGTGAAATTTGATTTCAAAATCGCTTTATGGTTCCTGTAACCAAAATTCTATGCATCTCCTCGGGCTTCCTTTTTTCCTTCGAACCATAAGTGTCTCAATACGTGCGATTAACTTTATTTTGTGACTCGGCGGGATTAAATTTGGGGCGCCACAACGCCATAGTGTGGTTGGCCAAAGAACTATATGTTTTGGTTTTGTTTTATGCTTTCTCCCAAGCTGGTGAGCTATTGCTACTAAATCTCTGCATGGCAGTGGCACTTTTTGTGAGAGACTAATTTTTATGAATGTTGCGACTTATATATGTGAAAAATTTATTGTGTAAATGTAACGCCCCATGATAATAAATACATAGCATACCACTCCCAAGCGTGAAATTTTGTGCCCGCAAAACATTGTTAAAACCCACATTTCATAGAAAATCTCAAAAACTTTCAGCCTGCACAAATAACGTTGTTTGGCATACTTGAAACTGACAAATAACATCTTTAGAATTCATCCCGTTTTTTGCATCAAGCTTGACTGCTTTGAACTGTAGTCGGTTACAAGTCAAGAAGGTAGGAGAAGCTCCTCCCACTAGCGCGATGCGCCCGTTTCAAATCCATCCGCAGTCGAAAGAAGAGTTCACTGGAAACGTCCCTTCTTCCGCTTCAATGAATAGATATTGGCTACAGAGAGATGCCAACTTGTCTCCAACCCCCGCTTTTTAAGAGAGCGACCTTTGTATTCATCGGAGAGGGAACCGAGCCCCTGAGAGTCGCATTTGTTTCCATCGGAGGGGGGAAACTCTAATCTCCCTCTTGTGGCTTCCACAACGCTAAGGCAAAGCCGAAAGATAAATCAAATCTGTACAGGAAGGCAAGACTCTCCTCGCGCGTTGGCCACGACGTCACGGAAACGATGGGATGCGGAGGTGGCGGAGAGATATATGAATCTCTTTGAGGGGCATTTGCCGCTACCTTCTTGACCTGTAACTTACTATAGTGTGCTAAAGGAAACAGCTGACGTGTCGGCATTTCGGTTGTCTCAATGTTCTCGGAAAGTTTGTTCGGAGTCAATGTCTTTTGGTCGTAATTATTGCTTTGCTTTCCATTATCTTTTACCCAAGTCATCTTATGAGGTGCTTTGTTTATTCATATTAGGGCTGGGTGTTGATTAAAAGTTTTATCCTGAATAATCACCACCCTTTCTTCGATTATTAAATCGGTGAAGGTTATTTCTATGCATAATGTTAAAAAAAATTCAATTTTTTTCTTTTTTTCTTTGCTGATTACGTGATAAATGGCTCAATATATGATCTGTATTGTTCATCAATCTTGATGGGTAGCTAAGAATAGTTCAGATACACTTGGAGACTGTTACTTGAGCTGCATAAGGCAAAGAGGTTCGTTGATATTCTCTGGCAAGAGCGAGCTCCTTTGATTGTTCACAACAGTCTCTGCTGCGCTAAACAACCACTTGAACGGTGTTGAAGTGACCGGGACACGTATCACCTACACCTTGTCTGGAGTCACAAATCACGCCCCTACAGTTTATTTTAGGCTAACATTTGACCTAAAGTTTGGCTTTCATACAGGTGTACTTGTCCACGTCTGCATGGTGAGAGGTTAATTTTTACCTTCATTTGGTTCTCCAAAATTGTACCGATTAAAGCATTAACAAATTAATTAGTAGGTTAATCAATCAATTGCCCAGCCCTAATTAATATATGTGTGAAATGTTTCTCACCAGGCTCGTAGCCAGGATTTTGTTTCGGGGGGGGGGGGGGGGGGGGGGGGGGGGGGTCGGTCGGTCGCCGCCCATGACAAAATGCTGTATGGGGGGAGGGGGGAGAGGAGGTCCCAGCAAAATGGAAGATTTCGGGGGGGGGGGGGGGGGGGGGGGGCCTGTTTCTCGCATAATAAAACTGTTCCTTTTCATAGGCATGCTTTCTAGCGCAAGGTTCTCAGCTGTGATTTCTTAAAGTATCGATGCTCAATTCACATTAAATGTAGTATATTCGATTCGCAGTCCACTTTCAATAAATAATCATTTTGGATTCGCAATAAAAATGTGATATTTGCTTACCCGCACACACTCCTCAGGAAGGCAGACACGTGGCCATTGTTTATGAATGGCATACAAATTGACTGAGTAAGACTAATATTGGCTTCATTGCCATTATTTATGCTTCAACTTGACATTGGCCCTCCCAAATGTTTTTTTATCTAAAAGTTCTAATATTTTGCAGGGATGTCCTCCACACAACACTGTTAGTGCAAACAAGCAAATGCCAGTTTTTTTTGTTATTCTCAAAGAATCAAAAGGCAGTCATAAAAATTACTTTCGTGGTGAAAATCGCGTCTCTAAGTGAAGTAAAATGCAAAAAAGGGCACAACCTTATGTTTGCGCTGACAGTGTGGTACAGTGTACTTGGGCACCAATAATTAATAGCTCCACTTTGAGTTCAGCTACTGGTTCCAAGGACTCTATGTTACCTCTGGAAAGTCAGAGAACCTGAACAACTGTTTGTATTAGAGGCATATAAATGAGGCATCAAGTGGATCAAGTGCTTAACAGCCTGTCAACAACAAAGTAGTAGAACAAAAGACTTTGAAGGTGGTGCAGTAACCTGTTTTGATGACTGCACATGCTATCGAGTCAACATACTTGCAATGTTCCCCTAATCACGTTGATTGAGCCGCGGCATTTTTAGCTGGCCTTGCACTCGTGGCCGACAATACCTTGGGCTTCCTGTTGCCGGTGGCTTGGGTCGCACTCGCGATAGTTCTAGACACACTATTTGCCAAATGATTCCCCACCTGTCCACGGTTAGTACGTCCCCATGCAAGTGAACGGGTGGCGCTCCTTTAAGGGGCGGCCAAACCGCTGCCCCCCCAAAATTTATGGGTGGTGCTTCTTCCCTGTCCAGTGTGGAGGTGGTGGTGAGGGCAGAGGCTGTGGAGGTGGCCCAAGCCGGGGACCGCTGCGACTTCACGGGCACCCTCATCGTGGTCCCCGACGTCGGACAGATGGCCACCCCAGGTCGGTCCTCTTCGCAACAGCCCCTCTTGGGAACAGGGTTGGGGCTCCGCTCCCACCTACGTCGAATGGTCGACCCCTGGAATGACTTGCGCGCTAGAGCGCAGAAAAGTTGACCTGAAAACGTATGAGGTTAACGTTGCGGAAGTTCGACGACTGTAGGTACGATGAGACGTCTTTGTAACAAACTTTGTTTTCCGCACATACTGTAGGGAACCTCCTTGGTGGGCCTTCTGTCTGTGCATTTTCACCACTGTTACTTTCATGTTGTCTGGTGTGGTTGAACAGCAATAGTGCGTCTCTATCTCGTTTGACGTGTTTGCTTTCATGGCTCTTGGGTTCAAAAACTGCCACCTTGTCTGGCCACCCTCTTTCTTTTTGTTTCTTTCCCCTCTTGGGCTCTGTGCACTTGCCTGTTCTTGCTTGGATGGGCATGATCTTGTACTCGGCGGGCTCAAATTGGATTCAGGTTTTTCCAATTTCCAATTTATTGTACTTTTTTTTGTTAATTTAACATATCTCAAGTTGCTTGGTCAAAGCATTATATGAGGGGGGATACAAAATTTGATGCCACAAAATACAACATGCACTAACTCACTTATTACACACACACACACACACACAAAAATATCAATCTAAAGAGAAAAATGAAAAACAATAGCAATATTTATAAATGCAATACAGGGAAATTCACACGCACACGTGCCTGATTTCTGGGTACCATAAAGTAATAAATCACGTGATATTTTGAATTTTGTTCTATCTAATTTCCACAACGTTATGGGGCGGAGAGTTCCATTCGGAAATGGCAAGCTGCAATGGGGGGGGGGTTGAGAAAGTAATTGATACGTCATTTTTCTGAGCGAATTTCATGAGGATGATCATGTCCCTTTTGTACACATCAAGAAATGTACAATACATTTGTTTCTATTTACTTTTTTTTTGGGAATGTTTTTTTTTTTGTCTAACTTTGCCTTGAGAGATTATTTTTATTTGTTTTTTGTTTCATCCCTATCTCGATGTTAATTTTCACGTCTCAAAAATATTTCAGTGGGGTCATTTCTACCATACTTTATCAGAATTACCTACTGCTCTTATTTTTGTGCATGTCTGTGTAAATTCCACCCTTCCGCTGGAACGCCACAGGGTAGCAGCCGTGCAGTACGCTGAAGCTTGTAATTGTGCACCGAGAAAGCTGCACTCGTGGCATGCGCACTTCATGCTTTACCTCGTGGCACTGGCGTGCTTCAGAACTTCACACCAGTGTGTAAGGAGCAGCAGTGACGCACGGGAGTCTCTGGCTAGTTTCATGGGCTCAGAAAGCTTGCTAACTTTACTCGGTCAACGGTTCTTTGTGACAGTTAGACAGTTATAGGGAGGCCCATAATTTTAGATAACAGTTCCGTAAAAAGAATATAAACCTCTATATTGGAATAGATACAGTAGCTGTCCACAGCCGCGAAAGTCCACGTGGAATAAATTGCTACGTGAGGGTGGCTTCCTGCCTCATCTAGATGCCCCCGAAAGTATTATAGGCTTTTACTTCTTTCCAGATTATATCCTTTTCACCACAGTCCCCCGAAAAACATATAAAAAAGGTTCTATGTGTTAGTTCGATATATTGTCACGAATGACAATTGATGAGGTGACGAAAACTGAAGCAAACTAAACGTTTAATGGGGCGAACTTGTGCCCAAAACAAAATTGGAAAAGGTTAGCGTCGCAGGGTCGGTGGCGATGAAACAGCAGGATCGAACGCTGGGGCGAGACTGACTCCGACTCGCCACGCAGAGCACGTTTTGTGGCCGCGTCGGTTTCTGGAATATTCGGCCTAGAACGTTCGGCGCGTAGAACGTTCCGACCTCAAACAAGCAACAGAGTTCTCGAATTTATCAGAACGCGACAATATTATGTAGTTTGCGCGCACCATTGTCCGTCTGCAGCTCAGAAGAAGTTGTCATCGTCGCCGTCGTCTGCTTGCCTTCGCGTTGCGGCAGGCGCTTGAATTGTCGCTCCTATTATTGAAAAAGGCCATTGCACACTACCCAGCCGGCGCATGCAACATTCAGAAGTTTAAAGGAGCTTCTAGCTCACCAGAATTCAGTGCTAGATGGGCATTTTGTGAATGTTAAGTAGAGTCGCCGACCAATTATTCAGACTAAGCAGGGTCCGAAAAAATGTTGAATAATAGAGCAGTACGAAAAATCAGTAGATTAAAAAACCTGCCTTTATTACGTCTAAGCAGGCTTCAAAAAGCCATAAATAGTGCCTTGCTTCAGGTTATGCCTACGCGCCTTGTTTCAGGTTACACCTCTGTTTGCGTTCGGCAACTTTCTGTTAACTTGAGAATCGCTGCCTTGTTTTCTAGCGTTATGGTCGAGTACTTTCCGTGCTTCTTAGCGACACATCATGACGACGGAAGAACAGATGGGCAATGAATGTTTAAGCCCAGCATGGTCCGAAAACAAAATTCACCGAAACGAGGTCAAGATGAGGCGCAAGTCCACGACTGCAATTGCGAATTAACAAAGCAAAATGAAAACAGCAACGATGACGATAATGACTCGCAGCTAGAAAAAAACAAAAAACATATAGTGTCACCTAGCGGTAGGACTTAGCAGTACTGAATTAGGCCTGCCAAACCAAGCCAATCCATGTGCAGCCAACATAGAATTCAAAATGGCTGTTTCGCTGTGGTGTTTCCCGCTGATCACCCATGACGATCTTGTCCGAAAAATCTAACGTTCGGATTCCAAGCTCTCTGAAACATCAGTCGTGGATATGCACTACTATTTCTATCGGGTAGGTCATGGTTCCTGCTTTAGGTCCGAAATATCAAACAAGTTTGAATTATCGGCATCCGAAAAATCGGTCGGCGACTGTGTAGAGTATTTACCCTGAATTTGCTGCTCTGCAAGGAAGCTTTGGCGGGGTAGTTTTCGAGACTTTTTGCGAACACAACTGATGCTTGGTACGTAAGAAGTTAGCAGTAAAGGAAAAAGGAATGAGATTGTCTGGGTACGCCATTTTATGCACTCCAGTCTCGGGTGTTCATTGCTCACAAATCCTTGCCCGTGTGGTTGCCTCTCGGTACTGAAACCGTGGTCCAATCACTATGGTTGCACGATTCTTAGAGTAGCGTGCCACTTTTACAGGAACCAACACATTTATTCAGTATCAAAACATGCAAACGAACAAATCAAGGCAGATCAAGCAACATAGTTGGCATAGGACACAAGGCTTACACCAGTCAAACTATGAAAACAAGCACCTGCACGGCACTTCTGAAAGCGCATACTTGTGACAGTTATTTGCTGCAAACTATGTCAATTCAGAATATCTTCATCTAAACTCCTTGGTGCACGTGAAATGACTTGTACTCATAAAAACAGGCAAGTTCTATGAACTACACAGTGTAAAACTGGTCGCTGCATACGCCGGCACCCATATTCGTTATTGTTTGAAACAAAAGTGAAAACGACGCTCTCACGATATTTCTTGAACCAATAATTATTCTATATAGATCGTTCTGCAAGCATAAAAAAAAAGTTGAATAAAAGATTATTGCAACTCAGAGAAGCAATTTTACAACAAACATTCTACATATCAATCATCTCTAACCAAAAATGAGCCGAGAAATGGAGCGTAACGCTCCTAGGCGTGGCCTAGAGTGGGCTAACCGCAGGAACTGAGTGAGCAACCAGTAAATGCTACCGAAAAACGTTTTTTTTTAGGGAAAGGTTGATTTTGTTACATACAAGTGCAATTGAGGCACTTAAAACTATCTCTTGGGATGGGGTCGAGTTTCCTTGGGAGCGATTCCGGAACATACTTCCATTTCGTGTTTATGTGCCCAAATACAAGCCTGTTTCAACATCGCTTCTAACTCGAAAAATCTGTCTTGCGACGTAAATTTCGAGCTTGAAAAGATTTTAGGTGTGTAGCATTTATAGCTCTTGGCGCTTACATTCTCGTGAGATCTAGTCACGAAGATGACGAAGTAGTACTCACGTGACAGTATCGATGTGACAGTCTTACGTCACAGCACAAGGTCGCGTGCCATCGTATGACACCGTGGCTCCAGGTGTCACGTCATATGACCCGAAGACACGTCATGTGGCCGTAACGTGTAACGTCGCGGTACACCGTGACGACGGGCGATGCCGTGACTCGACGTCGTGACCTCATTTGGCACTGCGAGTTAGGTGACCTGACGTCGGGTTATGGGGTCGCATGATTGTGTGCTTTTCGGTTGGCCACGTGGCACTGTGGACTATCTGTCAGGTGGCACTTTGATGTCACATGATGTTACATTGTGGAAGACGTATAAATGCTACGCATATAGAGTGTCTGGGATATGGCAAAGAGACGGGCATTTTTATTAATTTATTTATTTCGATCAAGTTTTTTTTTGCAGCACGTGTGTACTCTTGAGGCAGTTAACAAAAGAAAAGTTTTTTGGGGAGTTTCCTGTCCTCTAGGGCAGGCTCTTGGAAAGAGTGCCCATTGGTGAATGCTGTGTGGCGTGCCCCCAGGCCTGCGGACAGAGAGCAGCTCCCACCACAAGGGGGGCATGGAGGGCTTTGAGACGGAAGGTGTCCGGGGCCTCAAGAACCTTGGTGTTCGGGAAATGGCCCACCGGCTGGCCTTCCTGGCCTGCACCGTGGAGCAGACCACCCCCAGGGTGAGTGGCTGCCTCAGAGAAGGGCTTTCCAGAGCTTGGTGTACCTTTAAGACGCGTGGCACAGAGCCGATTGAACTAATCTTGTCCGCACCACACCATCCCTGCCTCACTCGCCACGGGAAAACGTGGAAGCCTGCTTGTAATAGTATGTACTCGGGTAAAATTGTACAAATACAAAGATGCAAAGATGAATGAGACAGAAAGTACTGACTCGCAACTAGAGATTTTGCCGTAAGCGAGGAAGGAAAGGAAAGAAGAAAACACCCCGTTCCGCACCTTTGCATGACGCATGTGCATCCAGCACCCTACCCCCTGATCGCCGATCGCCTTTGGACGTCGCCGTTGTCAACTTCGGGAAATCTATTTCCCCGCACGACAACGTCCCCCATGGGTCAACGATGCAGTCGTTCTCCTGATGTAGATGTACAGTAGGGCCGTCCTCGTGCTTTTCCAAGATGGTTCTAGCTCTGTATGTACAGTGGTCACCAACTTGCCCAGCTGTTACGCTCATAACACGCTCGTCTGGAATTCGAGCTTGTGCCGCGCTCATTTCCGTCGTCGTGGCGTCGTGCTGCGAGGAAATCGTCGGGGAGGACGCGTAGGAACAAGGCAAAAGACTGTTCTCCCCGCCCGTTGCAGCTGGGAGGCAAGGCAGCCGCCGCGGAGGAGCTGAGCCCGGAGATGATGAAGAAGCAGCTGACGCCGCAGCAGTGGGACCGCATCTACTCCATGAGCCAGGACAAGAACCTGTACCAGAACCTCATCTCGAGCCTGTTTCCCACCATCCACGGTGGGGCTCTTTGCTCTGCCACTCAGGTCGCATCCATGTCAGAGACGAGCCATTCAGAACCGTCGGCGGCTCGCTCGAAGCGTGCAAGGCCGCCGGTCGTATGCATTTGCATTGTATTGCTGTTTTGCGAGGGCCATGGAGGTGCCGCTTGTTTTAAGCCCATCGCTTGGGACTAATGAGTACCGGTCTTTTCGGAGCTGTAGTAACCGACGAGAACGTAGGAAGGAGCTTGGGTCGTCCCCCTCCTGCGCTGTCTTTTACCCGTTAGGACTGCTGTCAAGACTGGTTATAACGAAGTGAATGGGAATCGGAAATCACTCCGGTATATTCGCTATTTCGTTATAACTGACTTCGGTTATAACGAAAGTCAAAAGGGAATGGGAAATCGTGATCACTTCCTTGTAGCTGCTATTTCGTTATAACCGACTTCGTTATAAGCGGTCTCGACACAGTACAGGGACTTCATTACCAACAGCGCCGATACTGGAATCTGCAATGCATTTTCGAGCACTGTCTTTTGCTTTTGCGCAGCAAATCGCATAAATCTGCGGGTTAACTTTTTTGAGATAAAGATAAATTGGACGACATTTAATTAACAGCTAATTCGACTTTAAGTTTTGTCATTTGGAGCTTTAGCTTTGCCGTGCCTGATTGCTACAGTTTAGATAATATTATGCCTCCATCTGGAGCACCCAACATTGGTGTCGGTCGCCTACGTCTCGGCCGTCTGTTCATTTTTCCGACAATTATGTTAGCACTTTCTGCGGGCATGGAGCAGCGTCTATACGGCTCTGACAAGAATTTTCCCTCGCTGCGAGCCGGAGCCCGGCCTGTTTCACAGCGGTCAAAATGTCAGTCGCACTATGTTAGGAGCCTTGGACGCTTCAAACTCGTGCACCTTCAGTGAACTCGACCTTCCTTGCTCGGTCGGTTCCGAAATTGTCCGTTGGGCCGCCCCGATCCACCACGTCCCGTCTCCGCAGGCAACGACGAGATCAAGCGGGGCATCCTGATCATGCTGTTTGGAGGGGTGCCCAAGAAGACCGTGGAGGGTACCACCCTCCGGGGGGACATCAACGTCTGCGTGGTGGGGGACCCCAGCACTGCCAAGAGCCAGTTCCTCAAGTGGGTGCTCCGCTTAGAAGTCTCCAATCCCACTGTTTTCTTCTAAACCTTTGTGCTATAGTCCATTTTGTTAGTTTGTACATGTGAAAGCAACAACGGGCTTTGCTTCGTTATTACTCAAAATTTTTATTCCCACAAGAATTACTACATCTGTTTTGCGCAAACAACAGGTTTCTGATTGGAAAGTTGTTCCATCTAGCCATTAGTCAGTTGTTTCTTTTCAAAGGGGACTTCTGAACTCTCTTGCGAAAGATGAAAAGGCTAATGGAATAGTAACTGCCTTAGCCGAGATGCCTCGGTGCCTAATATATTCGGTCGACTCGGGTACCTTATGCGTGGCTTGCATTGACGTCGCATCACCTGTCGTTGTGGTGGCCTTACTGCTGAAGACATACCTCTACAGCAGACATTTCACACCAGGAATTTTGCTTTGTAATCAAGAACAAGTAGAGATGACCACTAGCATTGTGCGAGGATGTCTCGTGCAAGCCATGTTTTCATTCAAATTTTCAGTTAGTTTGAAGTGTGGGTATGATTCTGTTAATTCTGTGTCCAATGCTGTAAAGGCAGGATGAGGGTTCTTCATATTCTTTTCTTATTTGTTGACATATCTCATTTAAAGGGCAACTCCACTCAATTCCAAAGATTTCAGGATAACGAGCGATTTTGGATTAAAAAGTCCCAGTAGAAGACAGTACGTAATATGCTTTGCGAAAAATGGGATATATATATATATATATATCCCATTTTTATGGGATATATATATATATATCCCATAAATTTATGGGATATAGAGAGTGAGCAAGCAGAGGGTGCGACGGGGGTCGTCATTCTCTCTCTTTCCTTTTGACAAAAGATGGAGGAAGCGAGCAGCCAAGTGGCACGGCGGTGCACGTAACTTCAAGGATGCTAAACCAAGCAGTTCTGCCTGTCGTTTGCACCATTCTCTTTAGCCCTAAATTGATCTCTTAATTGTCTGTACAGACCTAGAGATGTCTCGTCACAAAATATAAGAACTCCTCAATCCCGCAAAAAGGTGAAAGGTCAGCGAGCGCAAAAACTGTGTCGACAGTGGTCGAGTAAATCTTCTCGAAATTAGAATGGTGACGCGCAGAGTGGTGCCGCACCAAGTTTTCGGGGTTGGAACCACAATGTTCGGAACCCCAAAAAGGTTGGGGAGACAAACGACTGCTTCCCGTCGGGCGAGGCACCACCCTCCTCGGTGCGGGTTGGACGTTCTCGGCATCCTCACACCCGCATCCTCTGTCCCCAGGCAGGTGTCAGAGTTTGCGCCCCGGGCGGTGTACACGAGCGGCAAGGCGTCGAGCGCGGCCGGTCTGACGGCGGCTGTGGTGCGCGATGAGGAGTCACACGAGTTCGTCATCGAGGCCGGGGCCCTCATGCTGGCAGACAATGTGAGTGGGCAAACCTAGAGGCAGTCGTCTTGAGGGTGTGATTGCGGTGCTGTTTCACCACGAGTATGGCGCCTGGAATGCGACTGGTGCATTTAGAGTCGTATTCTGCCCATGCATCCAAAGTTGTTCCAGAAGGGCAACAAATGTCGTCCCAAACACCAGAGTGCTATGCCGTCGGATTTCTGGATTGTAATGGTTGGTCATAGAAGGCAGAAAGTACGAGCAAATGCGGGCACCGCCGTCGTCGCGGTTGCCTAATTGCCGGGTGCCAAAGCTTCGGCGAAGAGTCGAGTTGGAGGACGAGCTGCAGCAGAATGGCTGTCTGCCAAATCCACCATCGCAGCTGTGACACTGCAAGATAGCGGCCGGCAACAGCCCAAACCCCTTTTCACGTCGTCGGGCGGAAATGGAGGGAGCACATTTTTGGACGTGGTAAACGCATCAGTTAGAGCTGCCATAACTGCGAGGGGAGCAGAAGCTGCGAAAGCTAGGACAATTTAAGCGCGCCTGCTATGCATGCATGCTCGTGAAGCGAAAGTATCGATCGAGACTGCTCGCTCGCTCTCATAGCATCAGTTTCACTCTTCTACGATACAACAGGGTCTGGTGCCCATTTGCATGAATCGGTGCGGTCCCTATACAAGTGCCGCGTGTATCTTGCTTGTGCAGGGCGTCTGCTGCATTGACGAGTTTGACAAGATGGAACTCAAAGACCAGGTGGCCATCCACGAGGCCATGGAGCAGCAGACCATCTCCATCACCAAGGCCGGCGTCAAGGTACACGTGCCGCGTTTTCCGGCTCAGCAGTTACGAGCATGCGCCGTCTTCGCTGGCTTTCGTGTGCGCCGTTCGTGAGCAAGGCTATTTGCGACTTTACTACATTCCGTCGGTTCCCATAGATGCTCGCTCGCGAAAGCTGAACCGCCTCTCCACCAAACATTCATCGGTGATGAACCCAGACCATGTTCTGGGTTTTGTGTTGGCGCTTGCCCTTAACGCAAAATTCGAGAAATAGCATGGGATGTCCCTATTCGCTGGGGGCCGAGTTCCGTCAGCAAACGTGACGCGGCTTTTTCCGCTTGCCTCGGAGCAAATTCGTCATGGTTACTGCCTATTAGCCACATTCATTGCTAGTGAATGGTGCAGATCAAATCACAAAGAATGAGCGGCAAGTTTGACCCGTTTTAAAAATTGTTTTACAATTTTGGCCTTTCCTTAGCCTACAGAGACGCGGTAACCGTTGGCGTGGCAACGTCTCGCTACTTTGAGACTCTGAGTAGATTTTCTTGGCTCGATCGGACGAGCATTCGTGGCATGTTACCTGTAGCTAAAAAACCAGTCTTCAAGTCGCTCTAGCTCAGATCTAAGTACAGCAGCTGCTTGCAGAGCATGCTCGCCTGCATTCCTCTCAGTTTTGGCATAGTTGAAGGCCTAAATTTTCAACGACAGACGGTTAACGCAGCACACAAATGCCCAAAACAATTTGGGAAGGCACGACAAATTAGAGTGCTACGGATTGGATGGTTTTTGTCTAAAATGTGCTGACAATATTTATACTGATTTTAGATTGTCCTTTGTTTTGGCTGGGTTGATTTAGGTTTACCTTAACTATCATTTGTAAACAAAAAGTACTTGTTAAGTGCACTCTTTACTCAGTGCAGTGCGCATTGGTACGCGACGCTGTGCTGCGTTGCAAAATCCCTATTTTATACGCCAGCGGCGCCAATCTCGTTGCTTTTGGGTCGCCCAATATCTTAGGGGCACTCAAATGTTGGAGCCCCGTATTTGAAAACTCTCTGTTGTTTCGTAGACTGTCAGCAGCCTGCAAGAAAGGCCGCACCATACGCTGCGTGGCTATAATGTGGCACACGCACGAGAAAGAAATTTTCCGCCATCTTCGTTGTGACCAAATTTGACTGCATCAAAGCCCACATTGCCCAAAGGGTATGAAGCTCTGACAGACTGAGTGTGATTGGCAGGCGACGCTGAATGCGAGGACGTCCATTTTGGCTGCGGCCAATCCCGTCGGAGGACGCTACGACCGCACCAAGTCCCTGAAACAGAACATCGCCCTGTCGCCTCCCATCATGTCCCGCTTCGACCTCTTCTTCATCCTGGTCGACGAGTGCAACGAGGTGAGTGCAGCTGAACGCCAGATAGGTATACGCCACCGTTCAAACGGGATGGCAATAGATCGCGGTGCCGTTTTAGATGGGCTGATCATTGTATGAGCAAAGTTTGCTAAATTCTATGCATTTGGAGGGCCTTTGGGATATACCAAAGAGACTGGCAATTAGTATTTATGAGAAATATACACCATCAGCACACATATGTATGCTGCTTCCACACACGTTGATGATTTGGATTGAAGTATGCAACCTTAGTCACTGGCGTATTCGACAAGACAGGCTAGTTTATCATGTTCACGTTACATATTAGTTCAGCTGTTATTAGTAAGTGCCAGTGATTTGAAACCACTAATTTCAGTGGCTTAACTTTGTGCAGCTGAAGCTTTTATGGAATCCACTAACCGCTCCATAGTTGCGACAAACATTTCCCACTGTGTCGCTTACGAGCAGTCTTCATTATATACTAGATAACCTTAGGCGGCACATGCTGTGCCCTGGTCCTGATTCAGCATCTCGTTTTTGTTCATTCCCTATTCCCATTTTGCGAACGTTTCTGTTTTTGGCATTGGTGCGGACGAGCAACATGTCTGTTGTCTCGTTGTCTCGCTCGTCGACGCAGGTGACGGACTACGCCATTGCGAGGCGGATCATCGACCTGCACTGCCACAACGAGGACAACCTGGAGAAGTTCTACAGCCACGAAGACATCCAGCGCTACATCCAGTTTGCACGCATGTTCAAACCAAAGGTGTGCAGCGCATGCTCCCGCTACTTTATTGGACGGACGTGTCGTGCTTCAGGCTAATCCAAAAAGATTTTGTTTCATCCACTCCTGCCTGGCGGCATTATCGGTCGTCGCATTCTATCTGATCATATTTTTGTGGTCTGCTGAAATCGGATAAGTTGGGCCACACTTGAACGACGTGTTCACGAGCTACGCTAGCCAAAGGAAGGTAGTCCTGCACATCTGCCGCCTCCGCCATTTTCTTGCCGCCATTTTCTTGTGGTGTGCAAACGGTCGAAGGGAGAAGCACACCCCAAGGCGCGCTGACATGCGTCAATTAGGTGGTATAAGTGAATGTGCAACTTCATTGTTCCTGCCTTATACAGAACATTTGCAATAATAGGCCAGTGGCGACTGCATCATGTGCAGTCACCATAAAAAAAAAAGAATTGAGATTTTTGTGAATCAGGTGCTGTCAAACGCCTTCATAACAAACACCTCAACTACAAACATGCCCGTTTAACGAAGTAGAGATTAAGTTTAAGTTTTTTAAGTTTTAATGCGTTATTATGCCCACTGCTACAATTATTTTATGAGTATTCCTGTTTACAAGCAGAATACATGATGCCACAAGGCATAAATGACTACTGTTGTGACTGTTTTAAACTAAGTGACCAACTGACGTAAATCATCACACTCGAGCAACGCGCGGCACGAGGGCTGTAAAACGAACGTGGCCATTGCCACGACCGCTGATGTGTTGTGTGCCCCCTTCCAGTCTTCGGCATACCTAAATAATTTGTTGGTTTTCATCCGTGCCTTGAGCTGGCTCAACATTTCTGATTACCATAATATACCAAGGGGGCACCAACTCCACTTTCACTGAAAACTGGGTCAGTCCAAACATGGGCACTTGTTCGGTAAAATCACGTGCTTAACATGTAATTTGCAGAATTCCCAAGTTGGGAAAATGTTAATAGTGGGTGCTTGATCAAAGTGGGCGCTTATGCACCGCAGTATTTTACGATAGGACTCTTTTCCCCCTTCCACATACTTTTGTACTGATGCCTTCTTTCATTACTCCCATTTCGTTTGCTCTTCATTTGCTTTGTTTCAATGTTACTAAATGTAGCGATGTTGTTTTTATTTGCTTAACTTTGATTGCACGTTTGATTCTATTAGATAGTGCATCAGTGCCATGTGTAATGCGGGAGATAGAGGCAAGAACGAATAGTTAGTGGCACAGGGGCGGATACAGACCTCCATTTTAGGGGGGGCGGTTCCTTGGTGTAAAACGGTGGGGGGGGGGGGGGGGAGGCGAGGAGTGTTTATATTTTTTGTGGAGGTATCGTTTTTACTTAACTCTGATAACATAATATAGATCTTGAGAGCTTTTGTATCGGTTTACCTGTCAAGGATGAACTCTTTGAATTAAAACCTTTCGGGTGACCACGCTAGAGGTAAGTATCTCGAAAATTGTGGTGACACTATCCTTTCTGAAACTTGGGTTTCAGACCGACACTACGTGAGCAGTCGATTTAGGGCAGCTTAAAGACATTGCCTTGGAGACATTCTGGTTGAAGCTAGTGCTCAACTGCTGCGGCAACGGGAAGAGCGGCTTAAATCAGCGGAGCGAGTACGTTGCAAAGAAGCGACAAAAATGGCCCGGCGGCTTCAACGCTGCTCGCGGCGTCAAAACACTGTTGACGCAGCGAGCGAAACGAACGCTGCCATGCAAGTTCGTCAGTTGTTCGCCGTATATTTGGAATGTCCAGAGCGCAGCACATGCGGCATTGCCAACCCACACTCGTGTTTTCGCGTGTTCTGGATGCAACTCGAGATAACGAAAGCGAATAATTGTTAATATTTTTGAAAGCATGTTGCGGTTCGGCAATTATATCTTTTGAACTTAGGCAATACCTTAAACCAGCAATGGATCCTTCCAAATGATATTCAATTGCACTTCGTCTGGATATTTTCTGTATCAAAGGAACACTTACTTGTTTCTGGGTAGTTAGCTCATTCGTCAGGGTCGAGAGGACAGGTGCAGAGATATAATAGGGCAGAACGGTTGTAAGGTCGGCGAATCTCAACTGGGCTAAAGGCCGATTACGACTGCAGCATGGATGTTTGGGAGTCGGTGTTCACTCAAACGGGCACAGGCACCGTCTATTTAATTTATGTATAGCTGCATCTTTGAAAGGGCTCGTTTTCCCCAAGTCCGTTCGACACACACATATTCGCTCCCGCAAAGCCGCGCGAAAGCTCTGCCGTCAATCCACAGAAGCCGCGTTTAACTGGAAAAGACGGCGCCAAGGGGAGACAAGGGGTAGCGGGCGCCTTTCCTAAAATATGTCCCGCCACCCTAAGTTGAAACGGCATTGTATACAAATAAATGCCTACGGCGTCGGCTTGAGGACCCCGTGTAAGCAGCCTCCAGCCTTTAGAGTGCTCATACCGTTTATCTTTTTTTTGTTAGCTTGCCGCCACGGGAAGTCGTACGGCAGGCAGTATGAAGCCAATTAGAGGAAACATCTCCCCCTTCTGACGCTCGTCGGCTTCTTTCTGTATTCCGCGCTGCGGCGCTGATCCTCAGTGAGGGATGGAGGCGAGGACGAAAGCGGCCTTATGTTTAAGCCAAGGTCGTGGGGAAGTCCGGAGCATCTTCAGGAGAAGCTTAGACCCATACTACACTGTACCTAGAGCATTTGCTTCCTCTCTCAGTTGAGAAGAAAAGCAATTGGTCACCTGGTTGTACAAGCTGCATCCCCCCCCCCCCCCCCCTGGAACGTCTCCTCCCGGTACGTCCCCTCCCACTTCCTTTGGCAATGAGCACACCATGCCAATAAAATACCTTTAGTGAGCCCGTGGGCGACAGCATCTCAAAGCAAGCCAAAAAAGACATGGCAAAAGACAAGCCCAGAACCACAAAGAAACCATCAAACGAAAAGTGATGAAAAGGCGGCCGCTAGAGAGGAAGGATAATCCACTACCTTTGAGGAATCGTCTGCGTCTGGGAGCTTTCAGGGCACAAATTTTTCGCAGACAACCTCCAAAGAAAGAGAGGGAGACAGAGAGAGAGAGAGAGAAAGGGGACTAGATATGTTGAAGGTATTTTCCCGCCGTGCTCGACGTGCTGGCCTTGTTTGGAAGTGTGCCTGCAGTCGAGGACCCTGATATTTGGTGCGCCTCCCCACTGTCTCTCCACTTCGAAACTCCCGTTCCTGTCGGGAAGACGTACCGTGACCTTGACGGAGATAAACCCCACTTTGGAAGCGCCCGGCAGGCGCGTCCACCCACCGCTGTTTTAATCTTTTGTTTCTCGCGTCGATTGCTTACGTTTTTTCTTCAGCTGACGAAGAACCCCGGGAAGGGGGGGGGGGGGTCGTCTGGCGAGGCGTTTGGGGGGGGCGATCGCCCCCCCCCCCCCCCCCCCCCCCCCCCCAGGATCCACCACT